GGTAACCTATTTATTTTAGCTAAATAATATGCATAAAATTACCTACATAAAATAAAACAGATCTGCATGGAACTACACAATCTACTTTCCACAAGCAACAGGTGACAGACAGGTTTTTATTTGTTTTGATCTTAAGAAACAACTTCACAGCTGAAAGTGCTAGACCAAATTGTAGTAGTACTACAAATGTGGATTTTTGTGTTTTTAGCTATTAATTAGTAGGAAAAACATGACCCAGGTCACAAAAAGATCAAGACAAGGATGGATTATGAAGTGCTGATTATGGCCTCATACTCATCAATCCTCTGTTTGGTGTTTCCTTTCCGGATCCTTCTGTAGGACACAGTTTTATACTTTGATGGTGGAAGACTTTTGTTCTTTTTCTCCTCTGCCTCAGTGCTGAGTTCAGGAACTATTGGATGTTTTTCTTCCCTAACTCCTTCAGCCACTATTTCAGAATTTACCTCTGATGCCAGATGTTCTTTTTTCTCTTTCTTTGTCTTTAAAGACTGAGTAGCTGCATCCACCACTGTTGACATTTACAGTTGATTTGAAAATGAAAAACATGGTCAAAATTAAAATTTCAATAATAGATATATACGTTTAAAAAATGGTGAACTTACGTATAACTAGTTCCTCTTCTCTTCCCTCCATGTTTTCCTCACCGTCCTCCTCTTCATCTCCTCTTTCTTCTTCTTCTTCCTCTTCTGTTTCTTTTTCTTCCATCTCTTTTACTTCTTGGTCAATCTCTATTTCCTTTCCTGCTGCAATATCTTCATTATTATCACTGTATTTGTGTTTATGACCCACTTGTTCTTTATTCTCCTCTGCAGCTTCTTGTTCTTCATTCTTCTTGATTTTCTCAACCACCATATCTTCTTTTTTCCCCTTGTCTCCATTATCTGTCATTTCTTTTGCTTCTCCATCCAGTTTTTCTTCTTTCACATGAGAGTCTTTTTCTTCCATCCCTAGTTCACTGTGGTCCATCTTTTTCTCCTCATCCTTTGTAACCTTCTTTTCATCCATCTGTTCTCGTTTTTCTTGTCCATCTACTTCTGCATTTGTTTCTTTCTCTGTATCCTTATTATTGTGCCCAATCATGTCATCAGGAATCTCTGTGATTTCTTCTCTTTCTTGTGCCACATCTTCTTCAGTCTCTTCCTCTACATTCATTTCCTTTTTTGTCTCAGATGCCTGGTTGTTTTTGTGTTCTTGCATTTGTTTTATTTCTTCAGAGTTTCTATCCTCCCCCATGATCTTCATCATTGTTTCTTTCTCGTCATTTTCTCTCCCCTCTTCATTTTGTTCCTCTTGACACCTCTGATCTCCCTCTTCCTTTCTCAACTCTTCCACTGTGTCTTTTTCTTCTTCAATTTTCTGCTCATTCTCTTCTACTGCATATGTATATTCTCTGTCTTCTTTTTGTGAATCCCCGCTCTCCTTCTCTTTACTTTCATTTTCTTTTTCAGCTTCAACACCATCTCCTCTAATCTCCATCTGGTTCTGCATGTCTGTTGAATCTAGAACATGTCCCACCATCCCATCTTCCTCATTGATGTGGACCCCCTTACTGACTCCATCTCCATATTCAGTTTCAGGCAACATCGATTCCATTGTGTCCTCTATTGATAGAATGTCTCCAAAAAGTCCAACAGCTTGAATGACCCGGGATACTATGGAGTTCTCTTCTAGTTCCAGAGAGTCCAGCATGTCTGCAGCCGTCCACCAGCTGGCCATCAGAACCTATCAAGGTTCCTCGGTGTGTGAACCAAGCTGGTGTTGTAAAAGTTTCCTTACTTGCTCAAGAAATTGATTTTGTTTTGCTGATTTACCAAAAGATGCCACAGCAGCAGCTGCACTGTGTCATTCCTCAATTAAGTCTTGTGACCAAATGGTTCACGTTTTCAGACGTAAAAGTTCATGTGCAGGAACAGACTCTGAGCTCTGAGCAGCTTGTTATGCATTAAACACTTAACTGTAATCTCCTTTTCTGCCTCATTTCACAATAAAAGCAACATGCATTGTATTAGCACTTAAATATAAGGGGGGAATTCACATACCTGACACAAAAGAGTACAATTGTGTGACCCTTACAAAAATGTAAGTACATTTCTGTAAAGGTCACAAATTTTAAAAAATGAAAAAGCTTATCAACCTGTGTATTTACAATATTTCCCTCTGTTAGTAGAAGTTCTTTTTCCTCTAAAAACTGAGCAGCTTCATCCAACACTGTTGAGAGTTTTGGTTAATTTGAGAACGGAAACATCAAACTTTAATTCAAAATGTACAAAAATGAGATGACCTTTTTTAAATTGTAAATTCAAGAATAGATAATTATTATTTTCTTTCTCCATCTTCAGATGTTCTCTAAGAACGTGTGTGTGGTTGGATGGTGTTTATCAAACTTGGAGCAAGTTGTAACATGACAGTGCAGAAGGTTAAATATATTTATTAAACAGAGCAAAGACAAATGTTTGGGATACATAAAAAACACCTTTATTGTCGCACAGTGCACACATCAACCCATAGAGTACATTCCCAGTGAAAGGTTTATCCCTCAAGTTATGTAAATCCTTAAAATATGCTCAGCAGCGCCACAGTGTCACGTGTGTTTGAACTGTCACCACTGAACTGTTAAATTATTAATTCAGGCTCATTTAATAAATCTGTATTATTTTAAAAGAAATAAATATGTGATTGTGATTTATTATTTAAAGACGAACTTACCTCGGATAAGAATATAACAGAAGCAGTACTTATTCTGTCCACTAGATGACATTGTATCACGAGAAACGAAGCTGAACATCAACGCGCAATCTCTTGTGACAGTTGAAATCAAACTCAGAGTTTTCACATTAAAATTTCTGAAGTCAATAGAAAGTGCAATAAGCAACAGTCAGATTCAGTCAACCCAAACATGGGGAATAAACCAAAATTAATGATAGACATTCAAATGTAAAACAATCAGAATTGTCAGAAAATCACAAAATGTCTCCTTCTCGAGAGCTTTCCTTCCACTTTGGTGATTTCTATGATTCACTGCGACCATGTGACTTCATCTCCTGCTGTGCCCTCCAGGCAGCAAGGACCTCATCATCCTCGGCCTCTGCAGCTGCTCTGGCTCTGATCCTTTGTCTGGTCTGAGCAATGAATGCAGCAATATCGTCCTCCTCACCATCGCTATCGTTATCCACCTGCCTCCTCCTCCTGCTGCCTTCAGTCCCACTGCTTTGGTGGCTAAAATTTCTCCCCATACTGAAGTCATCCCCCTCATTCCCCTCACTGTACGGCCTTGTTGTGCGATTGTAGCCGTGGGATCTCATGTAACCATTGTTGGAATATCCTGTGTCCTCATCAGACAGATTTGCACATAGCCTGGATCTGTATCTGCTGCTGTATGTTTCCTCCTCATCTTCATCCAAGGTGTAAGCTTCTCGGCGGGTTGAGAAGTCAAACTCTGAGGCAGAGGCATCCAGGTCATCGTAGGGATCTTCCGATGGCCCAGCTTCGTGTTCAGAGGTGTTTTTCCTGGGAGGAGGTCTGACACTTCTGAGCCAATCATCAATACTGGTGTTTTTATCTTTTTCCAGTGCTGTGTTCAGATTCAAACAACCAGAAAGGCCATGAGTTCTCACCGGTTTCTCCTTTTTCTTCACCTCCTCCAAAAACTCCTCCTCTTTCTTCTTCCTCTCCTCCTCCTCCTCTTCATCTTCCTTGGGTTTCTTCTTCTTGTACAGAGTGCTGCGCTTGTTGTCCTCCAGGATCTTCTTCTTTTCATAGGTAGCCATTTTACCCCTCATTTCAGACTTGATCTCCTTGTCTATGGCATCTAGTTTATTCAGGTTGACTTGGTCCTGGAAAAGACTGAAGAGTGGGACACTGGTGGTGGTAATCTTCTTCTTCTTTAAGCCCAAAGAGTCCAACACTGAACTTCTACCACTGAGACCAGAGATGTTGCTTGACCCAGAAACACCTGAGAGCACAGATTCTGCTTTACCACGTCCCGGAGTTAGAGCGCTGGAGTAGGAAGCTCCACTCAACAGAGATGCTTTGTCACTGTCCGGTCCTCGTCCAGATATAACACTGGTTGGACCCCCGAAACTTACGTCTGAAGCCGCTCTTGACGGAGGAGGCAGGCTCATCTCACTCTGCTTCTGTTTGATGGTTTCAGTCACAACGTTGGCAATCCAATTTTGGATGCTGGCCAGATTTACCATTGGTTCTCCTCCTGGACCCTGGACAGTTGGAACTGGAAGGATCGGTGGAACTGCAGTAGGGGCTCCAGACTGTGTTGATCCTGCACTCCGAGCTTGTGAAACTGAAGATATGAGTGATGATCTCCCACTGACCATTGACATGTTATCGTCATTGACGACGCTCGGTGGTCCGGTTACGCCCGCTCCAGCCCAGAAGGCTGAAAGCGGAATTGTGCCTCCACTTACGCAGCTCTCCGTCTCCCAACTGCCCATGGACTGACTTTCCTCTAAGGTTTTCTTTGAACGCTCCAGAAGCTCCTCTCGCCGTTGCCTCCTTCTGGCCGTAGCGCTGTCCTCACCTCGACTCATCTCCAGAATCTCATCAGGGTTGTCCTCCCCAAGACGTTTCTGCTGCCTCAGCTTCCAAGCCTGATACGCCGTCAGGTTAACATCTTGGAAACAAGGTGTCTTTGCTTCCCCCTCACCTTCACCCTTCTCTCCGTCTCCTACAAAGCTTTTCTCTCCATCTTCATTTTCTTTTTTGTTCCAACCAAACTGAATCCTCTTGACACGCCAACGCTCCAGTGGTGTCAACTTTTCTTTGTTTTTCTGGCAGAAGTTATACATGGAGCTGGTGTCAGAGAGGATGCTCTGTACTTCATGATCGATCTTTCTTTTTTCTTTTTCTCCACCTTCAGTATCGACACTGTCACAGTCCTCTTTCTCCTCTTTCTTGCGGTAACGGGCGGCAGCTTGTTCCTCGATTTCTCTCAGACGCTGTTTCCAAAGGTCAGAGTAACTGGTGCAGCTGGAGGTGGACATCACGTCAGAAGGTGGGTGTTTGTTTCGTCGCTTCAATCGGTCTTTAACATTCCGTACGTCCTCACTGGTGACGCTCTCCACATCTCCTTCGACGCTCCCTTTTGTCCTCTTTGCTCTGCCTCCTGTCAGAGATTCTTCTTCGTCTTCATTGTCGCTGTTCAGCTGTGCCTCCCACCACTCCTCGTTCTGATACTTCTCATTCCTGCGCTGCCACTCATGGATCATGCTGTCCAGACCGTCATCATCATCTTCTCTGGCATCTTGCTCAGGAAGGACCAGCTCCTCTTGGGTGGATGATTCTTGTTCGTTCTGTATGTTTTGTTTTCCAATCAGACCGTTTCGGAGCGCCGCTGCAGCTGCAGAGGAGGCAATGCTGCTCATGACACTTTCTCCATCCGTCTCCTCCTCCATCATGATGGAGTTGGCCTTCACCTTGATCATACTCTGGTCATCCTCCTTGTCAGTGTCGCTGTCATCCTCCAGGTCTTCTCCTCTGCCGTCATTGAATATAAGAGCACGTGTGCGAGCGTCAATCACAGAACACTGACTCAGCGTTTCATCATCGTCATCGCGCTCCTCCATCAGGTTCTCGTTGAAATCACGCAGCTGCTTCAGAAAGCCTTCATTGGGGTTGATGGGTCGCTTTTTCCTGATGGCCGTCAGAGCTTCCATGATGGTCATATGTTGGAAAATCATCAGATAGGATGCCACAAGGACTGCAGAGCGACTTATACCCATCATGGAAACTACCAGAATCTTTCCTGCAAGAGACAATATTCATTTTTGGATTTAACACATGCTGGTTTTAATTATTTGTGGTGAACAGCACCCGTTGTTTATCTCCCTTTAGTCCTTAAAATTAAAAAAACTTAAGAGGAGTTCACACCAAAAGTGATGTGCAAATTGAGTGATAGCCTCACATACACAATCAATGTAAATGAAGGTGGAAAAATTTAACTTTTCAGACGGCATTATGTCACGACATCGGCGACGAGTTTATTCTGATACAGGTGTGTAAAGGTTTTTTCTGTCTCTGTCGCGTTTGGAGTGAACGCTCCACAAGGCAACAAGTACATGAAGAAACATCCTTTTTAGTGTGTGAGTGGTTAAAGTTTTTTACTCAGTTTTTAAGGGATCCAACATAGACAACATTCCTGTCAAACTCCTCCATGTTCTCCCTCAATGGCTTTAGGAAAAACAGGAACTTTCTCACCTTTGTGCGTCAGAAGAGCCTCATCCAGGAATTCGGCAGTGGGTCGAAAGTGCACAGAGATGTCGGCCTCAGCAAAGTCGTCCACCTCAATGCCCATGTACTGTATATTCATACCAGAATAGAAGGATTCGCTGGTGTAGACACCAGTGCCATGGGCAGTGTTTAGGATGTGGGTGATGCCCATTCGCTTCAGACGGGCTTTGTTGACCGCAACAGATCTGAAGAAGAAAATGTTTGGCATGAATTTATTAATATATACAGTATATAACTTAATGTGCGATGACAACTCACTTCTCAGCGATGAAGATATTGGGCCAAACCTCATCCACCGGGTTGACAGGAGCCTCCAGGCGCTCTTGCACCATGGCCCTCTGGATGTCCAGGACACAGGGTGTGTTGTAGGGGCTACGGTCATCAATCATGTCCCTGACACGATTGTAAAGATCCTCCACCATCAGCTGCTCTGCTCTCTCCAGCATCGACTCAGGGACAGACTCTGAGCGAACACCTCGAGGTGGCAGCTCTGAAGAGGAAAAGAATGTGTTTGCAAATATTAGACCTAGGCCATATATACATATGCATATATGGGAAAAGAGATCTAGGTTTAGTCAAAAAATAAGGTCAATAATGAACAAAACAAGATCTGGAAGTTAGCCAATAAAAAAACAGAAAGTTAGCCAATTGTCCCCAGAAAAACCTTATACACCTTATAAAACATCTTTAAGAGAAGTTAATTTCCTGCTAAGCTCCAGTAGCACAGATGACAGAAAGCAGTGAATCTCCATCTGCCTATTGAGTTCCCAAAGACATTTTCCTCCAGTAAGCTTTGATAAGACACTTTCTATGATAATCACGTTTTTCCATCTCTGCCAGATTTTTCTGCAGCAGCTCATAAATGTAAAATCATATTCACAGTTGCTGTTGCTGCAGATCAAACATGAATCTTTTATGATTAATGTAATGTCAGCAGAGAAATGTAAAACAGTAGCTGCTACATGATGTGTCATCCAGCAGTTATTGATTTTCTTTTTTTTTTTTTTTACCATCACTACAACTCCATCCTCTACAAATAAAAATCGTTTCAGTCTGTCACTGCTGTCATGAAGCTAAAATTCGTTACATATTTGACTGAGTGTGAGTGTGAAGAGTGGGAATTCATTTGGCGTGTTGAATCTCCTGTCACCTTTTATATCTGAACTCAAACTAAACTTGTGAAATTATCTGAGTAGAGATTTGTCAGTAAAGTCAAACCCATGTTTGTTCTTTCACTTCCTATGTTGGGGCTAACATACAGTAGCTGTATTTTAGACATTTTTATTTAACTTTGAGTTTAAAAGGCTAAGCATTAGATGTTCTGGACCCTTGTCTACCTGAAATGTTAGTAGACCTTTGGCTAATTTTAAGGCTAACTTATATAATGTGGTAATAACATTTTCTTACTCATGTTGGCTATTCATCTTTATCTTCCTTTTTTTTGGGATATAATTCTGTGCTCAAGAAGATATTCTCTGGTTTAACTCTTGTACTCAAGCATCAGTCACTCAAATAACTACAATTAAAACACATTGATCTATGGCTGTTCTATTTATGCACCTTCACTGATGATCTTCTTGGCAGCAATGGCTGATGACAAGTGAATGGGCTCCATGTAGATGCTGTCTGCATCAGAACCAGAGATGGAGGAAAATCTGGACTCTGACACTGTGGAGAAACTGAGGCACAGAGAAACAAAGAGACCAAGTCAAGAACCTGGTTTTTAAAGCACCATTTCATTGGTGTTTAACACAAAACAAGAAGATGCAGTGAGTCATACATGGGCGAAGGGCAGCGCAGGTAATGAGACTGGACTCCTCTTACGCTCCGCTCCTTCTCCTCTTCATCACCTCCATTAGGTACTGTTTGATCTGCTCGCTCCTCACCCTCACTGGCTGACGCCATGATGAAAGAAACCGCGCTCCTTCTGATGCAGGTGAGAGTGTGTGAAGCTGGACAAAGAATAAAACGCTACAGTAAAACTGGACCCAGGGAAATTATTTAAATTGGATGTGATTTAGTACAAAAAAGAAATCTAGAAAAGGTCATGAGAACTTGTCAGAATTTTACTTTAAAGATCATTACAAAGTTAATGGTAATGAAGTGTGAAATGTAGTCAGTAATTCCATTGTGCAGTTAAACATAACAAATATAAAAAGCTGAGCTAAAGTAATACTAGATTATTTTTAAGAATTTTGTAAAGATGAAAAGACACATGCTAATGTTTATAAACAATTGAGAACATTTAACATACGGTATAAGAAGCAAGTATAAAGTATGTATTGGATGTTTATAGTACTGCAAAATGTTGAGATAATGTTGTCTTAAAAAACTAAAAAAACATTTAGAGGAATAGTTAAACGTAAAGGTAAAAGTTAAAACCAAAACAAGGCAAAAAAGCATTTATTGGTGTGAAAAAAGCAAATATCATCAAAGGTTACTTCATGTTTATTTCTGTATCATGTCAAGTCTGTATATAACTGTATAAAACCAGTATTAAAATGTACAACTAAAAATGATAAGAAATGGTAGAAAAACTGTCATATTGTCATAAGCATGTAAAACATGGACATATTTTTAGGTGAACGCTGTCAGTGTGTATATGAAGTGCGTGTGTCAGTGTGTGTGACATGAGGCCTTCCAGGTCCTTTATTTTTAGCTGCAGTGACAGCTGCCTCAGAGTGTGTCAGGACTGGAGCACTCAAAGAAGAAACAACTCCAAACTTTACAGCTAACAGCACAACAACAGACCCCAAGGCTCTAAACACACACAAACACACACAAATACACAGACAAATCTGCTGTAATGAAACATCTGCCACTGAAACACTAAGCGTGTTGGCGCTTTTCCTTACCTTCCTGTGGTGGGCCGGTGCTGGGTCAGGCCGGAGGTGTTCGTCTGGTTCGTGGCTGACGGCGGCTGCGCTGTGTTTGAATGTCAGTGAGAGACAGACGGAGAAAAAAAGAGTGAGACCCCCACCTAACCTCCCTGCTGACACCTGACACCAGCTGTGCTCCAACATGAAGCGGAGTACTTCTACTGGAGTAACGCCAGAGTGGAGAGTAACTCTACTCAACAGATGAAATCCTCTTTGATTGTCTTGAATGATTCATCTGTGGTAAATATTCTAGATGTTCCTCAACAGCTCAAAAGCTCCAGACAACTATATAAAAAGCTTAAATAGCTATTTTTAGCTATTAGCTAGCAAATAGCTAAAAATGTGCAAAATGATCATTTAAATTTGGGTGGAAAAAACAGACAAAACAGTACATCATAATGATAAATAATTAATAGAACTATATATTAGTCAACAAGGTTAGCCAAAAAAGATTGACAGTAAGTTAAGAGTTTTGTTACTTAAATTACAATAAAAAGTAATTAAAAAAATATATAATTTTAAATAGTTAGCCCTCTGTTAGTTAAAAGCAATCTAGGGATCAGGGGATGATGAAGAACGGGTATAAGTTAGCAGATGGATAAAAGTGCAGTTAATAGCTTATTATAGCATAATGTTTTAGAAGTAACCTAGTCTGGTGACTAAGAGTTGAATTAAAGGAATTCAAAGATTTAGCTCAATATTTCAACAAATCAAGGTGACACTGCCATAGATTGCCAAAAAAAAAAAAAAAAAAAAACTAGAACTAGAACACTCAGAACTACAGCTAAAAGCAAAAGTCATCCATACATCAAATCCTCTTTATAGTCAAACCTGTTAATTTAGTTAAAACACTAGAGTTGATGTAATTAGCTGTTGATGTTCTGACAACACAGAAATAAGCCAAAAACCTCCAGTAATCAAAGGTTAAGAGATACAAACATCAATTAACCTGACCTAAAAATTCAAAAAAGTAGACAAAAAGTATCAATTAATAATAAGGAATATTAAGAGTTTACAATGAAAGTGCTGATGAGACTTCAACAGGTCATTTGCATCTGATGAAAAAAGGTCAAACTTAACGAAGCCTCATTAACCGTTTTAAGGATGAGGATTCATCAAACATGTTACAGTACCTGCACTTCCTGCTCCCTTTCTCTACGTGGTGTAAAAACGTGCCACATTCAATTGGATTTTAAAATATTTTTATTGCATTTAATAGTAAATCCAAAAGTGCATTTGTCTGATGGGAGAAAGCAAAATATCAAAGTATATGTTTTTTATGTCCAGCACAGACACAGAACAGACAAACTTAGTGAATAAAAGACACAAACAAAGTAAACAGCATAAACAGACACAGTGATGGCACCTGGTGGAGTTCTTTCTGTCTGAGTGTGAAGGCCTCAGGTGTTCTCACAGGGGTTTTCCCAGGATAAATCTGACATTTTGAAGGACTTTAACACCATGTTCAGTACTGTGCAAAAGTTTCAGTATCTCCAATGGCCAGGAAACGTGTCCTTTGCCCTGACAGGACAGGTCAGCAGCCTGCCTGCCTTGAAGATCAAGGTGTCCGGTGTATTGAAAAAACAAAAAAACAAAAACAAAAAAAAAGCCCATGCCTTGATTAGTTAAATATTGTTGAGAATAAACTTCTGGAGAATAAACTTCTGGTTTATTCTGGTTCAACTTTTGCCCAGAGGTTTTTTATTAAGACTTAAGAAACATTTACGTTAACATTTTTGTTCATATATTCTCACCTGGAACTGACTGACAAAGAAATAACATTGCACTTGTTTTTTTTCCTGAGAAAAACAAGCGACCCTGAAAGTGAAACTTTAAAATAAAATAAAAAAAATCTTTTCAGTAAAAGAGCTAGTTCAGGTTTTGTCTCAAACACATCTCCCTGCTGTTGAACTCAAACAGACTCATGACCACCTGCAGATTAACCAGCAAAACTCTGCTAATTTGAGACATTCTCAGATTAATCTCACTGTTTAGCAGCATTTTTAACAGAAGCCTCAGGTTTGTACATCACTCACCATCCTTTAAGCACAAAGAAATTCAGTGATTCTATATCGCTGCACATGGGAGTCGATCCACCGTTGCCTCCATCACGAGGCTTAAATGTCATGTTGAATTACTCAAGTGACACAAGTTATCCACAAGAGGCAGCAGTGGACCAACAGCCACTGTCTCTCTGTCAAATGAATTTTTAATCTTCTCTTTGAATATTGGTGTGTTTTCTGTTGTCTAACAGTAAGACACAGTTGTGCAGTGTTGTCAAGATATGAACGTTTTTTCACTTGTCTCTGCTGGCAGCTGCGCTTCTACAAATCCTGAACTACTCCTTGAGGATCGGGACATCTGTAAAGATTTTGGTTCTTTGAGTGAAACAGCATGTGATCAGACACCAAACAAATAACCAATAGGAGCTCTGGGGATCACAGGGGGGTCCCCTCAATGTGAGTGGGGGAGTCTCTCCCCCAGAAAAGACTTCTTGAGTTTTCAGTATGAATGTTCAAAAACAGAGAAGTTGTTCTTAAGCACAGGGTCAGCTGACTCTCTCTCCTCCACCTGAGGACAGTGTCCATACTAAGAGGACATTCTGTAGCCTTTAAAGGTAGTTGTGTTTTAGCTTATGATATCTGTAGATCCGGCCAACAGTGGAACTGCTGCTTCACTCCTTTCTGCCTCCCTGCCATCCTTCCCATCATTCCTAGCCTGGTATTCAGCAAATATCACCTTCCTCTCTTTCTCCTCCTCGTCTATCTTCACTGGGTCTACGTTACCACTCAGCAGTGGTGGGAACGCCGCATGGTATGGCGTTGTCATGAACGGCACCAAGTGCATCTCTTGGCAGCCTTTGACGTACTGGACACAGGTGTAAAAATCCCCTGGAGTCTGCATGGCTGTGATGCTGTGAGGAGTCAAAGAGTTGTCAGGTTCCAGTCTGTTGTAGTTGGGCAGTGGCGACAGGTCGGACTTCATGGATGGAGCGTAGCCTTCAGGAGGCGTGGGGCCATAGTGGGGCAGGCTCTGCACATATGAGGTCGGGTTTTTGGTTGGAAACTGAAGACTTGCAGCTACCGGCTTAACCTCACATGGAACCACAAAGGAATCCTCCTGCTCCTTGGGTGAGGAGTCTGTCAGAGGACTAATGTCCTTCAGTGTGGAAACATATATGCTGTCAGTGCTGATCTGTTCCCACATTTCCTCTTTGTAGCTTGGGGGTTTATAGCTGTGGAAGTTACTGAGGTGACGGTTGATTTCATCCAGTTGTCCCTTCTTGTTAGTGACAGCAGTGAGAAAAGAGAGGAAGAAAGAAACGTAAGTGGCGTAAAGATGAAAAAAGACTGCAAATATAGAGAGCTGTACAGATGACACTATAACAACAAAACACTATAAAACACTATAGAATGCATGTACTGTATGTTTATATATATATATTTATACATATATATATACACACATGCTATACTATATGCTTTTCTATAAACATCTATTTTCTTTGTGCAGAAATTCTGCATGTATGTTTATATACGTATGTATATATATATAAACATATATATATATATATACATATTCTTCAGCCATGTCCAATTATAAGTGTTTAAAAAAGTGTTTGTTAAGTATGGAGCTCCATGTTGACATTACCTTCAGGAGCAGTGGGTCAATGCCGATGATCTTTGGTTTGGGGATTGGTGGCAGCAAGAAGTCCTTCAATCTGAAGAGAAAACCAAGGTTAGAGGCAAGAGTGCAAATTAATTATACCTTGGTGTGTGTGTGTGTGTGTTATCCTACCTTTTACTCTGTGGAGCAACACCTGCACCAATCAATAGCAGCACCACCACACTGACACTTGTCAGCAGACTGAGAATCAACAGTTTTCCTGCAGAGGTTAAGACAAACACCCTCTCATCAGTGTAACGCTCCTCTCCTCCTCACACTTTTACACACATTTAAATGAAAATACAACAAGGATTTAATTATCCTTCACCTTGATGTAAGAAAACCTTTTCTTTTTTTTTATCCGAAAGAAAAGTTAGGGCTCACTCTACTGCAACTTTGTCTTTTTTTGACAAGAGCGTCTGGTCTACTGCTGCCCCCAGTGGTCATTTCCATCACACAGAAAAATTAAGAATATGAAGGGTTTAGAAGAATTATGTCCCAGAATAACACATTTAAATAACAACTACTGTGTCGGGAATACACAATGTTTTTATTGACATTTGGTGTGGTAGCGTGAAAAGACTCAGTGTGGTTGTGGTTCATTGATTTTCACCAGTCATCGTACCTGTAGCTGTCTTGGATGGAATAGTCATCAGGTTTGAGGAGCTCCAGTTGCTCCACAGGCCGTAGTTTTGAGAACGACAGCGAACTCTGACCACGTAGTTGTCCACAGGCAGACCAAGCAGCTGCACATGAGGCTCGCTCAGTGGATACTTCACCTGTGGTAAAGCAAAAAAAAAAAGACTCAGTGATAAGAGCAATATGTAAAGTCCTGGTGTTGAACCCGAGTTCACCAGGTTTTCGTTGTACTGCACCTTCCAGTTGTCTGGTTCAGCCTCTCGCCTGTACTGCAGCTCATACACTAGAGTGATCCAGCCGTACTGCAGGTGAGAGGGCACGGGGTACTGCCAGGTTAGGTTTATCTTGTGGCCCGTTTCATCACCGCCAGCATCTGCGATTGTGTGAGTCAAATTCACCGGAGCTTCTGTCTGGACTGTGGATGACACAAATACAGACACGACATGTTGGATTTAGAACAGTGTGAAATAAAGAGCTGTCGTTTATTTCTCAAACAAAATTCCTGTATTTTCTCTCAGGTATTTGTTTGAGAGCAGAGAAAGTTACACTCCTATATCTTTATCCATTACTATTTCTGCAGCATTCACACTTTCCAGATAGGACCATTGATCAGCCCCCTCAATGTAGACACACACAAAGCTACTGGTGCAGATCTCCAATGAACCAAAAGCAAAACACTGTAATTCCTTCAAAACTGCTATTCTCATTCAGAAAAATATAAAATTATATATCAGTGCAATCACATTGGCACAGAAATGATTTCAGAGTAATTGCATCTGCATTGCTGTACCCACTCGTCACCTCCTCCTCATAGATCTGTGCAGCCTTTAAGAAGCACCACCTCATAACGACTGATTTTACTCATATTCATTGAAATGAAACAAACAAAAAAAAAACCCAACCAAATATAAAAAAAGATCTAATCACCCAGGATTTCCCCTGACTTCATAAATGGAAATGGATAAATGGAACTTGGTCTCAGCTATTTTGTTGCTCTCAGAGCAGGAGACGTTCACAGCACATCCTCACACTCACCTATATCTGCTACATCCACACAGTGCTGCAGAGAGGTGTAGTTCCTGTAGGTGGTGACAGCCGTCACGTTCATACAGTAGATTTTCCACACACTGGTATGGCTCTTGTCAAAGTGGCAGCTGTGGGAACCAGCGCTGGTGTAGTCTGGACACTCCTGGACTGGACCCTTTCTGTTAACAACATAAAGAGCAATGAGTTGGACTGAGTGGTCGCTTTAAAAGTTGGGCAAAATAAATAAAAATTAGAGAGAAACTAATTAAACATCAGAATAGAGTCAATTTTAACACTCTTAAAACAAGAGTGACGATGGTGAAAATAATTCCAGATTTATTGACTTCAGTCCGAACATTTATTAACCTTCAGTTTATTTGAGTTTATTTGAAGTCTCCCTTCAGTCAGTGCATATGGAACTCCATTATCTTCCAGCTGTATTTATGAATGGAAAAAAAGAAATAGAAATAGGAGAAAAAGAAGATATACTTTTGGCTTTTTTCTTCAACAAGCAAATTCACAGTCATTGACACACTGTGATGCTGCACAGTTTTATGCCAGACGTCCTTTCTGTTGAGAGAATATTAGGAGTTAAAATATTTCACTGACAAAAAGGTGACTAAATGTTGAAAAGACTCCGTATGGAGTTTGCAGGTTTGTGGCTGTTGGTCTTGTGATAACATTATGACTGTAACCTCGGCAACAGCAGCAAAAATGATAAAGGAGCTGCAGGAGAATGAAAAAATAATTATTAAGCTTAATAATCTGAGGAAGGCAAGATAAATAAAAAGTCATTCAGACTCCTTTTACAGTCATGTTGAGGACAGATGACGGGGGAGGACGTACTCTATGGAGTAGGTGAGGATGTAGGACGCCTCCTCTCTATCTGTCAGGTTCTCCAGTGGCAGCCACCAGCAGGTGAAGTCCTCCATGTTGGGTGAACGACATTTGTAGATATAAGGTCTTGTTGCCATGGCAACTGACTCTGTTGACACACATAACGCCATTAATTTGTGAAGTGTGATTCCCAGTGGGTGAGATGTGAGGGCCCCCCCGTACAGAGAGTCAATCTGGGAGACGAAGACTGACTCTTAGTCAAAGAAAATCAAGGAGGAAAGTATCTGAGGAAAGCTGTGGTTACTAAAACTACTGACATTAATAACAAACACAAATCGACAAAAGCGGTGCCAGACTCAATAATAAGAACAATAACAAATGACAAAATAACAGCACCAGAATTTAAAAAAAAAGTGCTGTAAAAAAATTACACACTAGATAGCTGTGAATTAATCATGATTAATCCAAAACAGGGGTGTCCACATTATTTTAACTTGGGCGCTGCTATTCAAATGACCAGGCTTAAATTGATTTACTGACATCAAAACATTTTAATAGTTGGTAGATGTTAGTCATTACTGTGCATCTTAACTGTGGCTTGTGGAACACGTCAATAGCTGCCCCTGTCCTCACAGTCCCTCAGTATTAATCAGTCTACTGTCCCTGGCAATCCATTTGGCAATTGTGTCAGTCAGCTTGTCAGCTACAGACAGACCTACTGTCCAGTGAGGCTGGACGTCTGACCTGAAGTCTTTAAAAGTGCATAATGGACATTGTATTGGTATTTTTTAGCTCCAGCTGCTAAACATGTGTATAAATAGTAACATTTGTAGTGACTGTATATTAGATGAGTGAATGGACACATCACCCCCCCCCCATTTAATCTCATTAATCTCCTCCATTGAATTAACATGACGACCACATTCATTATGACAGCCTATCACATTGATGGATGAGCATGAACTCACTTGACAAAAATGACCACAAAAGAAATACGTAAAAATACACAGTAAATATTTACAAAGATGACCATGAACAGACCGTGATTAAAAATGAGAAATATCAAGACAAAACACTGATCATTAACAAGCAAAAATGATCACAATGACCTCAAAGAAATACGACTTCAGTTGAATGATTACAGCAGAATCATTAAAAATTATAGTGGACATAAAAGACAAGTCAACTCTTTCTTGAAGGTCAATGTCTGTCTAATGAAGTCTGAAACCTTTACTAATTTAAACAAAATAAATAAAAGTGACTCACCGCGGTCAACCTTACCCTTAAACAGGATATTATGCATGGCAGCTCTCCTGCAGCCTGCCAGAGGAAACAGGCACAGCAGCATCAACAGCATCATGCTGTCAACACAAACACAAAACATCAGCTCTGCAGCCTCAGTACATGTGAGAGTGTTCTCAACATCTCTGCTACACAAACACAAACTGTGAGCCCGCTCATCATGACCTCCAGTTAACAGGCCCTAGAGGTGAAATCAGGGTTTTTAAAGTGAATTTAGGTGAGCACATTCTTGAAGGCCCACTTTGATTCAGGCCTCATGATCCACCCGTGGTAAAGCCCAAGGACAGGAATATGTGATGTAAGAACAAGCACTCATTTTATTGTTTAGTGTGAAATTCCCGTTCACCCCCTCATAACTTTGGTGAACAACTGAAATGAATGCTCTTTTTTAGTGTCGCCTGGACAAACATGAGATTATGTGATTTCTGAGAAGTGTACTGCCTTTTTCTTTCTTTGAAACAGTAATTCTTCTAAAGATTAATCACGTTAGCTCTGGGCGCTCACTCCTTATCAATGTGAGTTTAGTCTATTTTTACTCTAACTTTAGTTCCTAACATGTGATTTTAGTTATTTTTTTCAGCCCTTATTTATACCAACTATTTGCTTATATGCTTTAATTTTCCTTAATGTTTATTAAAATCTAAACATAGCTAAATTGAACACGAACATTTTTTTTTCATTTCCTTGGCTATGTTTTTATTAAAGATCATCAACTACATATTTACATTTAATTTAACTCATTTAATTTAATTGTTTATTCTGGTTTGGAGTTTACACTTTTTACATTTACATTTCAAATCGTCTGACAAAGAAAAGTTCATGACACAGGAACTGTGTGTGCTACAGAAGCCTGGCTGGTCAAATTTAACTCAGACTTAGACTTGGTCTCCTACAGTTATCATTAACAGACACATTAAATGGCCTTATCTTAAGAAAATGTTAGTAATGAGATCATTCAAATGTTTTGTTTTTTTCCCCAGAGGCCCTGAGTCAATACATTCAGAACTGGCAAAGACTCTGACAGAGCATTCTGTTGGATTAACCTGATTGGAGTAACGAGCTCTTACTTAAAGCCTGGTTATAAAAAGCAGAAGGCCATACAATGACTGACTGACTCATGATGAATACAAATAAACACACACACACAGATAAATGCATATTGGTCCTAATGGCTGCAAGTTAAATATAAAACAATTGAAGCTTTTGTTTATCATCTTTAACTACATGTATATATTATATCCACTATGCTAAGCTAATGGTGACAACGCAGCATTAGAAACTCAAATTTCATTTATCCTCCTAAATCTAAACTGTGACGCGGCGTCTTCAAACAAAAGACAAATTTATTTCAAGGCAAAGATCTTTAAGGAAACATATCAACATTTCTCTGTAAATCCAATTCACGTAAATGGCTTAAAGGAGTAGTTGGGCCTTTATTAATAATAATAATAATAATAATACATTTTATTTAAAAAGCGCCTTTCAGGTCACTCAAGTACACTGTACATAAAATAAAATAAAAACAGATAATAATTTAAAACAGGGCATAGAAACATGTTTAAAATCAATGATTATTACACTGCAGTTGTATGAGCTACTGACATACTGTCAGCAAAGGAAGGAAAGGAAAGTGAACTACTTGTCATTGTGACACAGCACACCACTGCACACAACCAAACGTGACCTACCACCTCAGTGGTAACTTGGCAGCTGGTGGACTCGAACCTGAAACCTTCCGGACCCAAGTCCGCTTCCTCAACCACTATGTGCTGCTGCCGGAGCACCGCGTGCCGAGGTTTATTTTGCAGCCACTGCCACCTGCTGTGAATACTGTAGGAGCGGTAGAGTGAGCACATCACACTGTAAGGTCCTGAGTCTTTGTTGCCGTTTGTGTTGTTCATTCTGTGCTGTAGTGACCCCTGTTGTGGGCTTAGCAGCAGAAGAAGGCTTTGTTGTAATCCTGCTAAGGCCCAGTGAAGGATTAATCACCATGATTGTTGTCTCAGTGCTCAGAGATCTAATGTACATGCTGTTTGTCATGCCTGGCATACTGTTAGCCACCACAGCCTGTTGGATTACTCCCTGTCCTCATCAGCTTCATGTCTTGATGATAGCATGACACTTTTTTTTTTTAAAGCGTCCTCGTGTTTTGTGTCCCTGTCCCCAGTCAACACTGCCATTCGACACACTTTAATGTGTTTCATGCACTTTCTTTGTCTGGTTAAAGGAAGACCTTCTTCAACAATTCAGTGTTAATATTTTATGATTACAATGACAAAAGTAAGACAAAAATATTTTAAAAAATTGTTTTGGTATATTTCACAGAACCATGTCATGACAGAATCTATTTTTACAGATGAGCAGAGAAACTAGACCATGTTCATGTTGTGGGAATCAATGTAACCAAACAAAGAGCTCCTGTGTTCAGCCCTCTATCTGTTCCGCTAAAGTCATATAACTGCAGTGGCCTTTACATTACAGAGAGTGTTTTACTTCATTTGAGCAAAGAAAGCCTTCAGTAGAACTGTTCTTTTACAAGTCTTGGAGAATATAAAGAAAACAGCCTACAGAAACAAAATGACATGCCGACTCCTCAAACTAGATGTTTCTTCTAAAGCAGACAAATGACTCCCATAACCAACATATTAGGGCTTTTCCCTTCAGTTAGCAGATCATGAGCTAAATCTCCACTTCCTGTAGTACAAACAGGTCACAGCAGCCACAGAGTCCAAGCCCTTTTAAAGTTTCCAGTACATGTGACGATACAGATACACAAAAGTCTTCATTATTTCTTTCTGCTCATCTTTTTTTCCCCATCAAACTGTTTTGTTCAGGTTTAGCTGAGGGGCCAGATGAGGTTAAATAAGAAACACTGGCTGCTTGAAGTCATGAGAACTGCAGCTAAACATATGGTCATGTGCTCTAACATGTCAACAGAGTTCTGACCCGTTCCTGAGGAAAACTACAGTCAACAGAAGACAAACTTTAGAGCTTGTCTTTACAGAGAAAATTCAGTGATTTCACTGTCACAACAAAGAGGAATTATTGAAGCACCGTTTTCTCCATCACCAATTTGAAATGTCATGCAAATTAAACACAACCTAACGCTGACATGAAATAGTCCGCAGCAGGTTGCACATTTAGTTTACTGATAAAGTACAGGCAGATAATAATGTTTGTGTGAAGCCATGGACACAGTCATAAACCCCAAGGTTTATTTAATTAAATTAATGGGAAAACTGTGACATCAGTCACGGCGTCACTTCTCATCATTATTACTCTAAAGCCTGTGCTGTCAAATGTTTATCTGATCTATTAATTCAGGACCACTCCCTCCCCCTGCCTACCTCATTATCTGATCTTCATTGGCCAATCCCAAACCATTACCAGTTGCTACAGCAACCAGTTCTCCAAAAATACAGCTGCTCATTGATTCCTGGTTATTCGTGCATATCACGTGTAAATCCATACGTACAAGTTCTGAAGCGTAAAGCACCGCAGGCGAAATACACTTCAAACACTGGTAAATGACTGAAATCACACACAGCAGTGAGTAAAGACCAATAGATTGCTGTCCAATTTCATCTGTGTTATAAGCCGTGTAGAATTTTAAAAACACAGAGTTCACCTTAAATGATAGCATCACTTAAAACCAACACGGAGCTCCCAGGCTCACATGTGTGTTTGTTGCACAACAGCAAAAAAGATAATAATCTGCAAGACCTACAACAGGTCTACAGTGGTCTTGTGTAAGTGTAAAAAAGAAGATGCCTTTCATTTTCTTCACGCCAAACTTTTAATATTTCTCTAAAGTTAAAGAGCTGCATGTACTTATATGAACTGAGATGATGGCTGGAAGACACAGAGAGTCACGCTGCCATGTTAAAGATCCAGCACACAATGAACTTCCTATTTCCTCATTAACAGCTCTGAATCAGAGCATGTCTTAAATATGTATTCACAGTCTATACTGTGGCTGGGTTTACAGCCTGGGGTTCATATATGCTTGATTCCCCGTAAAGAAGCCAATATGAATAAACACTCATGACAGAAAACAAGACGCTTTAAAAATCAGTCACACTGCAGTCCTTTACACTGCAGATAAAGCAGCGACGAGATAAAATGTCCAAGCAGAACTACATTGAAAGAAAGAAAGCTGACATTTGGTTTTTTAAATAAATCACAACTACATAATCAATCTTATTATGATGTGTTCTTGAAGTTGGATTCAAAGCCCCTTCACAGAATATCTCTCATGAAATACTTGCTTTGGTTATACATATTAAAAATAAGAATTAGATGAGACTTCTTAATTAATTCCATCTCTTTACCTGCAGGGAATAAGCCTGGAATTAGAAAAGAAATCTACTGTATTTCAGCACTTTCGCAATGTTCTCCGTACTGAAATGATCCATCATTAATACTTCAGACATTAGAATGCTACACGGCAGAGAGAACTTTCCATCTGCTTCTGTATTTGTCAGGCTTTAAAATATGTTTTAGTTTGTGACGTCGGTGTTTAGAATTATTTTCCTTAGTAATTGAACACTTCAGATCAACACAAAAGGTTTCTCAAGGACCTTTGATGCAACAGAGTAGGTTGACTAAAAACAAGTACAAAGAGCTGACATGATGGAGTCAGATCTGACTACATGCAAACCATATTTTCAATGTACAGTATTGTATAAATATAAACAATTTGAAGTGTGGGCAGATGTTAATTTAGTCTCTGTTTAAATATGCAGCAACATGCACTTAAGATATAAAGTATTTGCTTTACTTCATTAATAAAATATTAATTAGATTTTCTCTAAAACATTTCAGCCGTGTCCGTTTCCACACTGTTTGTGTGCCTTCTGAAGACACGGCTCTAAGCATCGTGTGCAGATCCAACTCTGATAAGTTTTATCTGTGGAGTACAAATGTGACTGTGAAATTGCAGGAAGGGAATTTATCTGATCCACAAGGAGTCACATGTTTGTGTGTTCTCCTTAAGCATGACATTATACACATTACATAACTTCTGCATCAATGCTGACATGTTACTGATTAGGTGATAGAGACCCGTCATATCAGGGATTGCTGCGAACACACTGGAGACCATGGTTATCTTTTAACTGCTCATTTACAACTGTAACAGAGAAGAGTCAGCATGTGAAAGTGACGGCGAATAATTCTCCGAGGCTAGTTATTTGGGTGAAAAGTGCAATCCTACTGTTTCAGCAGTTTCTGGTAAACCAAGTGACAAAACACGAGTCCTGTTGCGAATGCAGGAACAAGTCTTGACTGAAGTCATGAGTTTAAATGTGGAAAATTGCTCCTTATTCTGGTTTTCAGTCCAGGAAGCACCGCATCAAAAACAAGCTGTTCTTTAGGAGTTGGTTCAGAGTTTTGTGTATTATGCTCCAGTAGGAGTGAGTATTGGCAAGAATCTAGATACAGGGGCAATGATACGATATACTGCAAGACTACAGACACGATGACATATTGAGTTATTATTGTTGTTAATACTATTGTTAATAAAAATATCAATAGTGCTGTAGATTATTAATATGAAACAAAATATCGCTATAATTGAAATTCTGTTTGTTTGAAATGAGTTTCTGCCTCCATTTTCCACAAATAGGAAGAACTGATGAAGACAACATTATCTTTCACACATTCTGCTTTCAGTTATACTTATAGTAGCATTAATGGTAATTTTTAAAACCAGAAATTGTATAGAAATTGTTAATTAGTTTTAGTTTTTAATTGTGGGTCCAAGCACTGCAGCAGCAGACTATGCGGGTTAAAATATATCTTGCAATTTCACAATAAATGAATGACTTAATTCATTATTGTGTTAACTTAAGTCATTTTTTTCTACCAATGTAATTACAAAAATTGCCTTTGAAAAATACAGATTTTTACAAATCAAAAACATATCTCGTATCTCCTGGAGCACACGCAACTGTCAATCCTCAACATTCAGTAAATGTTATTAAATGAGAAAGTTTATCACCTGTCAGATTTCCATATCATTCAAACACCCAGACAATAATAATTCAGAGAAACAAAAACAGTGTCCAAATGAATGGCCAACTTTGTTAAAAGCTTGTTAAATGAATTTACTATACAAAATACTAAATGATCTTTCCACATATAATTACGTTAAAGTGATCAACATGAGAGATCCTTGCACATGTGACCAGCTGTAGATAAAAAAAACCAAGTCTTACCTTTTAAGCGAAAAACCACTGAAGTGCTACTGAAGTGTTGTTGCTGTTTTGATCCTTTCCTGGAGAGTGATTTCGCCAACATCGAGCCTCAGCTGGAGCTTTGGATCAGAACCAGGATTTACAGGCAGCTGCTGAACGCAGCCCAGTGTGTGGAAGAATGTCTCAGAGGAGGAGCAGCTGCTGCTGTTTGCTGTCTGATGTTGCCTCTGCCTTAACAGACTTTTCTCTAAGAAGATTTCTTTCCTCTCCACCTGATCCCACGTCAGCTGTAGCTCCACACCAGCTGGAGCTCCATCCCCTCCTCCTCTCAGCTAAAACCCACCTCCTTGTAGACTGCTGGGGGCTGAAGAAAGAAAATATTTAAAATACAAGGAGTCATTTTCAATAACTTGAGGTTATGTAATGATAATCCATAGATCATAAGTCATCCTAAAATGAAGTTATGATATAGTGACATATCATCTCTTCAATGTGCACCCTCTGCTGGTTGCATCTACAACCAGCACGAAAAACAGACAGTGTTCCTGGTCGTCAATAGAGACACACAAAAACAGACCCCTAAAATAAGACTCAGTTCAAGATTTCAAACTCAGAAAGAAAATGAAGACTGATATGATTGTTACCCCGCATTTTGTGAAACATTGCTATTTAGCAGCAGACTAAAGTAAGATTTCCTTTAAAACATCACTGATTTTCCTGAACCAATCAGCACAGAGATACAATAATTAGTCGATTTTATCATCAAGTTTACTTTGTGGTTTGTTGATAAAAATGTTTCACTACCTTTATCTTATCTACAAAAACAAGACAATCTCTAACCAATCTGCCGCTCTTGTGTTGTGTGATAATTTTTCTCATTGACCTTGGTTTAGTTTTCACCTTACGAACATTGTGAAACAGGTTGAGAGCAGTTAAAAATATCAAGTTTAAGAGTTGAACCAACAATAAAAGCTCACAACAACACAACACACAGTGCACAGGCGTTGGTCATGTACTTGAGGTGTGTTCAGACCTACTGCACCTACCTAACACCTGTCAGAACAAACTGTGGGTGAAAGTTTACAGTTAAGTATTTTTAGTGTCTCCTCAGTTTAAATGACCAGAGTTTAGAAGGTTATGGGGTGATGACTTCAGTACTCCCCATGGCTTAGGTCAGAGAGACTGACTTTGTGATTATGCATGGTGGAATGGAACGGTGACGTCACGGTCGCTATGCAACAGTTTAAAACTAATCCCTTTTACCCAGATTAGGGGGGAAATCTGGTACCTATTGTCTAAGTTACATGTAATTTATGTATAGCTTTAAAATTCACCTCCAGCCGCAGCTGCAACAGGAGGGTTGTTTTTCATTCACCCTACAGCAAACTTATGCCAACTGGACAATATTTACTATTATATCATTTTAATTATTATGTTTTAATACTGTACTACTGTACAGTGTCTTGTTTACGCCGACCTTTAACATAAGGCACAAGTGTAAGGAGATCATTGTAAGTATTTAAGTCTGAAATAAAACGTATAAGTGAGAGTGGGGGAGTGAGAGAATGACTGAACGGCAGGATATAAAATGAGAAACTAAAAAAAAAAAACTAAATTCAAGAAAACATTATTGTCAACATAAACTTTAAAATCATGCAGCAATATTACAAGGCAAATCTCAATGTTGTAGCCGCAGGCGGCCGGTAGGGGGAGTGGTAACCTAAGGCAGTGCTACGATGACAATGAGCTTTAGCAGTTGCAAAGGAAAAACTATCCTGTGATCAGTAAAATAAAAAAATAAAAAACAACAACTTTATCCCAATGTTTTTGAGTAATATAAAATTATATCATCTTAATCAGTAATAACTGACAATGAGTGAACAACATTGTCATTTTTACACACCAACACCTTCCAATTATTGTGTTTATTTTAAGGTCAGCTAACTTAAGCTACCAGCTAGCTGACAGAGGACAATCACTTGACTGATAAATTGGTTACTATATTTAGCTACCTGCAAGCTTATCCCTGCTTAGATATATTTGCTCACTTAAGATACATGGTAGTTTACATCATGGGTATTATTTTGGCTAACTTATCTACCTTTTTGATGATTTGAGAGACATTCTTTTGGCTAATGTCAGGCAAGTTTTTTTTAGCATGTGATGTTCAGCCAACTATAGCATATGTAGCTTCTTTTTTTATCACCTATCTATGTTATTCCACAGGTTTGGCATTTTAGGTTATAACTAAGATTATCCCTTGGTGGAATAGTATGGCTTACACTGGCTACATGCCATCTTTTTTCACTTTTTCACTGTAATATTGTTAATAACATAACAGCTTCCTGTCCCTCACAGGTAATATTTCGCCTTTTACTAGGCGGCAAAAAGTGTGGCCAACCTTAGGTGTAAAGCTATGCAAAGTTTCAGAGAGTGAAGAGTGTATACATTCACCCAACCACAAGGGACTGTTTCTTTATCAAGTATTTGGAGCAAATGTAGACAAGCAGCTCCCTTTCCATAATGACGTCAGCAGACAGCCAAGATAGCTAGTATGGCTACTCATTTTGTAACAACTTCAGGTTGTCGAACTGTTGATATAGATGATAAGGAAGGAAAGTGAACTACTTGTCATTGTGACACAGCTCACCACTGCATACAACCAAATGTGACCTCTGCTTTTAACCCATCACCAAAGTGAACAGTGGGCAGCTTTAAACGCCCGGGGAGCAGTGAGTGGGGACGGTGCCATGATCAGAGCACCTCAGTGGTAACTTGGCAGCTGGTGGACTCGAACCTAAACCCAAGTCTGCTTCCTTAACCAGTAAACCACCACTGCCCCACCTAAATAATTCCAGTTGGTTTACCAGCAACCTAACTTAACTACCCTAGTCTTGTGTTTAGCTGGAGCTCTATTTCATACAGAAAAATCCATCTGTTCATGTTAACATAACAGGAACATAATCCTAGTTTATCTACTTTTTCTTCTTTTTTACACGGTTGCCCACCAATTTCAGGTGTCGTTTCAGCTGCAATTTTGGCTGAAACAGGAAGCTTGTGGTAATAATTTGCTTTACTTCATTTAGAAATCTCCCACTTCCTCAGACACTGTCACAATTGGAGAGTTTAGTTCCCCATTAACGTTCACCTGCTGCACATATTTCAACAGCATACACTGCTTCCACAGATGAAACATTTAGGCAAATTAAATCAAGCAAATACGAGCCTGCTAATCTGGTCTGGTGACTTCCTACTACTGAAAAAGTAGTAAATTCAGTTTTGGTATTTTAAGCTTTTTTTTTTATCTTCTATACATTTAATACAGGTTTTTTTTTGCATCAAAGTGAAAGTGTGTGTCTCCAAAGTAAATCTACAATAAGTCAGTCCAAACAAGGTATCAGACAACAAAACAAATGAACAAATATGACCTTGTTCAAAAGTTGTGGATATATTAGACAAAGGATGTTTAAGGAAAGAGTTGCTATGGAAAAACAAAACAAAAAAAATTCATTCATAAAAATATGAATATAAATAGATGAGATGTATTGAATAGATTCAATTAAATTTCAAATTCAGATGGAAATGATAAAGAAACAGTAGAAATTAGCTTGGGAATCAAAACACAGTCTTTTAAATGACAGTGGTAAATTTATGATTGGAATAATAAAATAAACCAGCCCCCTGAAAAAGCCTTCAAGTTTACTTCCTTTTTTTGCTTCTCCTAGATGTAGAACGGTTTAGTAAACCACTGTGCACTTCACCATCCTCCACCGCTGTTTATTGCATCCTTGACTGAGTACTGCTCACCGATAACCATCATGGGGAACTTTGTTGCCAACGAGGGACTTTCCATCTTTGTTATAGTGAGTTTTTAAAATATATTTAATTTTCCAATTTAAAGTTTCTTTTAATTATTTTATTTATGATCTAATTTCAACAACTGTTAAAGTTGGATGTTGTGCGGTTTATAGTTTATTAAGACATAATGAAGATACTGTGATATATTATAAAAGTAGCTTAATTATTGAGAGTAAATTATTTATTGTTACATTTTAACATGGTCAGGAAAGGTTTTGCAATTGTGAAGTAAGTTGTATTAGTTTTATAGCACTCACTCTAAACATAAGGCATTAATAGAGGCTTGGTGCAAAAAGACAAAAGATAAAATTAATGTGAAATGATCTTTTCATTACTACGGCTTTTTATTTCAAATTAAATATTAGATTTGTCTACCATCAAACAGTGTGTATAAGCATGAAGTTGGCCAGTAACAAAGCATTGGTAATTGTTAAAACTTTGGTAAGACATTGGGAAACCTATACAGAAGATTAAAAAAAAGTCAAAAATAGCCAAACAATGCCTAATACTGTATTAGCCACACATTAAAGAAATCCATAATGAGACAAAAAATCTTAAAATTATTTGTAAAATGCAAATCATGTTCAAAATTGTGTAAATTGTTCTGTCTTTTACAGCTTGTGTGGCTAGGAATCAATGCCTTCCTGTTTGTACATTTCTACATGGCCTTCCTAGTGGAGCGTTGGTTTTACACCAGAGTCCTGCTCGGGGTGAGTGGACTCAGCAATTTTATTAACCATTTTATATACATTTGTCCTCCACATTAACCACTCTGACACTAAACAGTTGAAGAAATTCCATTTAGAAACTGATTCAAATGTATAGTTCTACTGCACAAAAGTACGGTCTGGAACTCACACCCACATGAATTTCGTTTTAAAATTTGCCTAGGTGTTACTTCCTCCTCCTGAGGTGGTGTATAAACATCAGGGCTGAATGTATTCTGTTGTTCTGTATGAGTTCATGATGAATTCAGTCAAAGAACCTTACAGCTGTGTGGATACACATCGGCATAGCAAAACAGAAGGGGTTGAGAAACTGTGTTTAGACGAGGAGAAAAAAAAACAATAATCAAAAATGAGCTCTATAGATTGAGCGGAACTTTTGCAACAGTATTTTTAGTTTAAGTGTCTCTGCTGAGAAATAAATATTTTTACTGTGATTCAAGCAAAACACACTTTAGTTGAAAACATGTCATACTTGAAAAGAACCCAGTCCAAAACTTTGGATACTGTCGTTTCAGCATGCTTTGTCTTGGGCCAGAGCACCAGCCGCTTGCCTCAACTTCAACTGTATGCTCATTTTATTGCCAGTGTGCCGAAACCTCCTCTCCCTTTTCCGTGGTACCATCCAGGTACAGTACAAAAAAAATAAATTCTCCATGTAGAGTTCTGGATATGAACTTTCTAACATGTTTACATCTATCTATTTCGCTGGGGTTTTTTCAGTACTGCAGCCGCACAGCCGCACGTCAACTGGATCGCAACCTGACTTTCCACAAACTGGTGGCTTACATGATTGCCTTCCACACAGGTGAAGACCTGAGGGTGTTGCTTTGTAACTTTATAGCTAAAATGTATTAATTTTAATAAACAAAAGTAACAATGTATTCATATAAAACATTTGCGATTTATAAAACATGATTCCCAAGTATATGCTGTTTTAACCCTTTCTATTATCTCCACAAAGCCGTGCACATTGTTGCACATTTGTTTAACTTTGAGTACTTCATGGACGCTCAGCTGAATCGAAACAGCAGCCTACTGACCTTTGTTCTTTCTGAAATCGGCACCGGAGACAATGCCTCCTTCCTGAACCCAATCAGGACCAATGAGACAGTGAGTTGTGGTTTTTATCCAGTTTGATTTATATGTTATTGTGTGAACTGTCACTTGTGGGCACTGTGTGTAATTTCCTGCTTTTACTTGCTTAACACTGTGTTAGAAAAAAAGAAATTACTTCACCTGACAATCTTCCCTATTTCAGGTATTTCTCTCTTGAGACATCATGTCATCACTGCTTCTATAAAACTTGTAAAGTTAAAATGTATATTGTCCAGAAATGTTTCAGGGACTTCAGTTTGAAAGTTTTTCTGTATCTCTAATTTATCAGCCTGATAGTAAATACACGTAAGGCTATCTGTGATTTGTTAGCCTTACTTAGGATGAACATAGCATCCACTGAAAGTTACTGACTCACAGTTTTTTTCTGAACTTCAACATTAAATGTCTCAAATTTTTAGCGTTGACCTTTTCTGTTTAAAACCATGCAAACGAAGGGTTAAGTGGTAACCTCTCAGTGACAAGCCTGTGTTTTCTTACACAGAACCCAACCATCGTCATGTTCACCACCATTGCTGGGCTGACCGGAGTGGCAATCACACTCGCCCTCATCCTCATCATCACATCGTCAATGGAAGTGATTCGCAGATCATACTTTGAGGTGTTCTGGTACACCCACCACCTCTTTGTCATTTTTTTCATCGGGCTGGTCTTTCATGGCTACGGGTGAGGAACCATGTTAAAATTCAATTTGACAATTTTGCTGTGCAAATGCACAATGTCAACATAGAGATTTACTTTTACAGTCGTCATTTTTTATATAAATACTTCCACTTTTGTTTCCCTGTGTCCAGACGTATCGTGCGAGGACAGACTCCTGCCAGTCTACAGAGCAATGACCCTGAGCTTTGTGCTGATCGTTTTGAAGACTGGGGAAAAAATGAGACCAACTGTGCTGTACCTGCATTTGCTGGTAACCCTCCAATGGTGAGCAGTTAGGGTGATTATTGTCATTCAATGTCTCCACAGGAAAGCTGTTTACAGAAATCAAAACACTGCTTCACATGGCCTTTTTCTATAGACATGGAAGTGGGTGGTAGGACCAATGATTCTTTATGTGTGTGAGAGGTTGGTTCGTATCTATCGATCCCATCAAAAAGTGGTCATCACGAAGGTGAGTCGATCTATATCACTTTGAAACACATTGCCACAAGTCAATGACAATCAGTCTTAACTTTACATACTTGATCTGCAGGTTGTGATGCACCCATCCAAGACTCTGGAACTGCAGATGAAAAAGAAAGGCTTTCGCATGGAGGTGGGTCAGTATGTCTTCATCCAGTGTCCATCCGTGTCGAGGCTGGAGTGGCATCCTTTCACCTTGACCTCAGCACCAGAGGAGGATTTCTTCACGGCCCACATTCGCATTGTTGGAGACTGGACTCAGGCACTGTACGAGGCCTGTGGGGGAGACAAAAATGAGACCCAAGAAGCCTGGAAACTGCCCAAGTAAGAAAGTTAGCTGCAAGAATAAGGTAGAATTTGTTCATGCAATGGCTAATAGTGATATTAGATTACAGTTTTTCCTGTTTATTCATTGAAAACATCCAGAACAAACATTTTGTTTCTCTTTTTATCTTGCTTTAGAGTAGCCATTGATGGCCCATTTGGCACAGCCAGTGAGGATGTGTTTCGCTATGAGGTGGTGATGCTGGTGGGAGCAGGAATTGGGGTGACTCCATTTGCCTCGATACTCAAGTCTGTTTGGTACAAACGCATCCAGAACAACCAGGATGTGTTTACAAAGAAGGTGAGTGATAAACTTTTCCCAAACTGCAGATAAAAACATTTTAATTGTGATTCAATTTTATTATTCAGCTGATATGCCAAAGGCCTATGTATAAGTCTATATTTGTCGAGGAATTTGCTCTACACATTTCAGAGACTTTTACTACTATTTTCATGTGTGTGTGTGCTGGTGTGCACTTGTTTGCGTGGCCACACAGATCTACTTCTACTGGCTGTGTCCAGAGACCCAGGCTTTTGAATGGTTTGCTGACCTTCTGCAGTCTTTGGAGGGTCAGATGATAGAGAGAGACATGAGTGACTTCCTCAGCTACAACATCTATCTGACACGTTGGAAAGAAACTGAGGAGTGTGAGTCCTCTCTTTCTGTCAAATCAACTCCAACTCCTCACACTTATGTATTAACGAAATCTACTCTTTGGTCTTTGGTCAGGCGGCTCATTTCCGTGTTCATCATGAGGCAGAGAATGACCCGATTACTGGGCTTAAACAGAAGACTCTTTATGGAAAACCCAACTGGGACAACGAGTTCAACAATATCGCAGCAAAACACCCCAGGTGACAGACTGAATTTCTATTTCTCAATGCAGTAAAAAGCACAATTTGTGATTCCTTGTTTATCTGAATAGAAGGCCTTTCAAAGGTAACACAGAAGTTGACAATCCTTCAGTAAATTGCAATATGCTTTTTAATGGGGTTTCTTCATTAACAAATGACCCCAAGAAGTGGCAGTAGGATCTCTGTTCATTTCATTTCATTTTCACAGTGTAAACACTGAATACTACCTCAGGAAAACTTACATGGGGCACATGTTAGAATGTATTACAGCAGTATTTCAAAATTAGGGGACTAAACTACTATTGAAAAAAATCAAATTCACCTGGGTACCACAAGAGTATTGTATAAGTATAATACCACCAATTGTACACATACTGTACCATAGTTTAAGGAGCACTGTACTAAATATTTACCAACTTCAGGGATTGGTGCTGCAAAAACCAACAGCAGAGAAAGTAGTATTAATGTTTCAAACATAAAACACTGAAGTCTCAATGGAGTTGTTAGTGTGAGTGTTTTATTGAGCCTTGTCACAGCAACATTAACTTTAACGTAACATTAACGAGTTGAAATACGTTCATGGTGAAACTAAATGAAGTTTGTGTATTTTCAGAAGTAAAGTTGGAGTCTTCCTCTGTGGACCACCTCAACTGGGGAAATCTTTGGAGAAACAATGTCTGTCCCATTCAGAGGATGAGGTCAAGTTCATCTTCAACAAAGAAAACTTCTAAAAGAACAGCATTTTAAGACATGAGCTTGTAAAAATAAATGTGCAATTAAATGCCCATGACATTTTTACTTTAGTTTCTTCTTTAGCCACTGAATATAAAGATTAAATTTATAGTATAATGGTATGCTATAGTTAGAATACGTGATATGTGTTTATGTATGTATGTATGTGCACGAATGTATATACAGTATGTGTAGCTATATTCAGTTGCTTAACATTGCTCTTTAAATTGTAAACTTCAGAGGAGGATATAGACTCATGTTAGAGGCCCTAAATTAAAGGGTATACCACAATTGTTTGGCTCGGCTAAATGTGTGGTTGTGAAACTTTATCGCTATACAAAGAGTTAAGGTATTAAACAGACACTTTGAACAAATAGACCAGCTGTTGGTTTGTGGATAAAAATAATCTATTTTCTTCGAAGGTGTTGTTGCTATTCTCACCTCTTCAATCTTTCAAAAGATATCTCCAAGTATAAATCATTTCCAAAGACAGGGTTGACACAGAATTGACCCTATTTAAGGGTCAACATGACTCATGGCCACAGGATATATGGCAGGTGGGCAATCCTCTCATTTGTGGGGTTTAGCTGGGGATATCTACTGATCTGTGTGAGCTCTGAATCGCCTCTATCTTTAGACTATGAATGGACAGTCTAATGTTATCTGGCCCACTGTCATCCAAGCTGTGGTTATTTTTAGGCAGTCGCTTGCAGGGGGGAGCAGCTGCCAAAGCATTTAGTGCTGCCATTCCAGCTCCGTCTCCACCACTTTGTCACCCTGTAGCTATCGGACAATGACGGTATCTCTGCTGACGCATAAACTAAGCACTTGACCGCGTGACTGTGGTCATTTTCTGCATCCTTTCACTACACAAACAGGGACCTCCACATTGGAATGGGATTTCTTTTTTCACACTCTACGACTTCAAACAAGATCCTGCAACCAACAAGCAACGCAACTAAACCAAGAAACTAAGGGAAACTAAAGAGTTTAAAAACGTCCTTCCTTGATTCACTGCCATTTTCAAAGAAACAAAGACAAATCAATCAAAGAGGATTTTAAAGGAAAGCGTACCAACTGTTACAGAATGAGTTAAAGACAAACTCCAAAGAATAAGTAAGTAACTGATTCCTATTGGACTTAACTATGTTAACTTACATAGTTACAATGTGGATTTTGCCATTTGTATTTTAGGTCAGTAGACACAAAGACAGCCTTAATTATTTTTCATTTGGTTATAAGTAGTTTTACATACAATGTGAGCAATGACCTCCCTGAGACAATAGAAAGACAGAAGGCAACATTTTATCAACCTAAATTAAGGCTTCGTCACTACAATTGTTTTCTCAAGTTTGTAATTAGACATCTTTTTTCAAAAGGAATTCAACTTTACAAAAGAGAATCAATCAATCAATTTCCTCATACTGTTACTGAGTTAAATCTAAACAAATGATTTTAACATTCAACCTTACTGATGCGAACAACAGCACATCAACAACAACTGTCTAGCGGAATAAAAAAAAAAAGAGTTCCTAAACATCAACAACAACTGTCTAGCGGAATAATAAAAAAAAGAGTTCCTATATTCTAGGCTTAAGATGAACCACCTGTTAAAACTTTTGTTAGGATTTTGTCCAAGCTAGCTTCTTAGGTGTACTCCTGAAACATGTACACTTATTCAGAATTGTATACCTTTTGTACATTTCTGAATGTAAGTACATTTAACAATGTTTAAGTGAATGTGTGATATTACAGTTTGTGACACATGGTCTCCCTGGTGTCTTTTTTGGACAGACTAGTTTATAAATATAGTCTGAAATGACTTACAGCACCAGCTGTAAAACAACTGTCATGTCATTTAACAAAAATATTTTTAAATGGTTTCAGGTCTTTAAATTTTCAATTTTAATAAGCAAACTTTTTGATCTTTGTGTCTCACAGATACTTTTGTGACATAGATTTCTGGATAATTTATTGGGAAATATTCAAGTTAATCTCCAAGAACAGCAACACAGACATGGATATTTTTGGAGGTGCTCCTCGTGTTTTGGGTTACCCACGACCCGTGGTTGCACAGTGTGGCACAGATGCCATCCTACGTTGCCAGATAGGTGGTGATCCTCGTCCAGATGTCATTTGGGAGCGTAAAAATGTCCAGATCTTCTCAGAGGGACGCTACAGACTGTCAGAGGAAGGAAAAGTGTACCTGATAACTATTAGTGACGTTACCCAACAGGATGCTGGCCAGTACATATGCAAGGCTAAAAATAGTGTAGGTGAAACATATGCAGCTGCCACACTCAAGGTGGAAGGAGAGGAAAGAGCACAGGAAGAGCAGGGGCAAACCGAGGTGAATGGTGTCAAAGAAAATGAAAAATATGAGGAACATCTGAATGGCTACTGTAAGGAGCAAAATGGGAAATATGGCAAAGAAAATGGACGTGAGATAATCCCAAAACATAAATTGAACGGAAAGTATGAAAAAAGAAAAGAGACTGATAAAATATGTGATGATAGGCCAAGATTTCTCATAAAACCACTCTCTTTGCGTGTGGACAAAGGAGAAGATGCCGCTTTCTCATGCAAAATCTGGGGTGACCCTTTGCCTGAGGTGATGTGGGAGAAAGATGGAAAAAAGCTCAATGACATATTTGAAAGCTCACACTTCAGTGTAAGCAGTCAAGATGGCGGATGGTTTCAGCTCAAGATCTATAGGACACGAATGCCGGACAAAGGTGTCTACACATGCAAGGCAGTAAGCTGCAATGGCGAGGCGCTGGCAGGGGCAGTCTTGCTTGTTGAGCCTGTGCCAGAGCGAGAGGACAGCAAAGTTTCTTCCAGTAGCCCTTGTAACACCCAACTGTCACCAAAACACAGAGGTGGTCGACCTAGTTTATCAAGAGTTAAAGAAGAGACAGCGATCAACCAATCTGCAGTCAAAAAGTTTGCTGTAGCAGAAGGAAAACACGCCAAGTTTCGCTGCTTTGTCACAGGAAAGCCTAAACCTGAGATCATATGGAAGAGGAACGGGGTTCCCCTGGAACCTGGAAGACGACATCTGATATTCGAGGACAGAGAGGGTTACTACACACTCAAGGTTCTGTACTGCAAGGAGCAAGATACAGGCCTGTATGTGTGTGTTGCATCAAATGCCCTGGGGAATACCCTAAGTGCTGTTCACCTGTCTGTCAAAGGTAAGAGAGGTTTTACTTTTAAAGCTGTTTTAAATCAACAACAAAAAAACAATTCTAGTATGGTGGACATTTTCCACACTTATAAAATTAGGTCCTGCATACAGTGAATACAGTCATTCTATATGTAATATTAACTATGAAATTCATCAGCTGTACCTTTGTCATTCAGGTCCAGCTGTTCGTTTTCGGCGTCCATTAAAAGATGTTGAAGTAAGAGAGCGTGATGTGGCTGTGCTGGAGTGCGAAGTTCCTGATGAGTCGGTTCCTGCTGCCTGGTACCTTGAGGACCAAAGGCTGATGCCCAGCAGCAAATATGGCATAGAGCAGAAAGGAACCAGACGCAGACTGACCATTCAGGATATTGGGACAGATGATGACGGAGTGTATCTTTGTGAGATGCCTGATGGAGGGAAGAGCATTGCAGAACTTTCAGTTAAAGGTATGTACATGTGAAAAAGATATACTGCTAGTACTGCTAAGTATTTCAGACACGGCTGTACCTCCCCTAAATATGGGGTGACATGGTGTTTAAAGTGCATGAGTGAAATGAAAACATATTTCTAATAAATAGATGAATGGTGGCCTCATTCGTTTAAAATGTTAAATTTGAATGTAATTATCTTACAAATTCACACAATTTATGTAATAATTTGGCCAGATTTGATGTCCAATTTCTGTACTTTGCGATTTGCTATGGTTAAAATTCAAAGCCAAGTACAGATTCTGTGGTTGTTGTTAAATAAAATAAAATAAATAAATAAATAAAATTTGTGACCAACATTTTTAGGCACAATTGTTCGTAAACTCCCTCGGAAGCTGGAGGTCCTAGAGGGAGAGAATGCAGCTTTCTGTGTAGAAGTGGAGGACAACGACATGGAGGTCCACTGGTTTAAAGATGGCCTGAAGCTGCATGAAACCCACCAGACAATCCTCAAAAATTTTGGCAAAACTCACATTCTGGTCTTTGTCAACGTGGCCCATCAAGATTCAGGGGTTGTGACATTTGTTGCAGGGAGATCCAAAACCTCATCACGGCTAAAAGTTAAAGGTAAAATAGGGAGACAGACTTTGCTTTCCAATTATTTTTCCCAATGAAAGTTACTGAATGGTTCTTCTCTTTACCCTAAAGCTTCAAGACACTCTCCTCCTATTTGCCCCGTAAGTGTCAAAATGGATGTAGATCGACCCAATGGTGCTCTTCTCACATGGGTTCCAGCCCCTAACAGCCAGATGTCAACCCGATCCATTTTTGTGGTGGAGAGACAAGAGGTGGGCTCTCAAGAGTGGCAGAAGTGCTTCACTTCAGAAAGTGCCACCTCAGCTGAGGTTGCAGGTGACAGTGTGCCCTGTGAAGGCAACTACCGCTTCAGAGTCTGTTGCATTAACAAGTACGGGCGAAGCGGTCATGTGGAGTTTCCCAAAGTTGTCCATCTCGGTAAACGTCAGAAGACAAAAACTGTAAAATATGTTGCAGTTCTTTGACATGTACAAGAAAACATCAACAGTGTAACATTTGCATTTTCTATTTTAGTTCCTGGGCCTAAGATTTGCAGTCACCTCAAGAGTTCTGAGGTTGAAGAGGGAGAAGATGCCCACTTCTCCATTGAACTTTCAGCAGTAATGGTGGGAACATGGTTTCTCAATAGCTCTCAACTGCAGCACAGTGAAAGATATAAAATACAGCACTCCCAAACTAGGCACTCATTGGTTATCCATGGCACACGCATCACAGACGACAGAGCAGAGATCACCTTCATAGCCAACGGAGTACGGGACTCAGCAACACTCAAAGTTAAACGTAAGGACTCTGTCTATTCTCTAACAACTGAATCCTAAAGATTCAAAAACAGATTCAGGTGCAGCATCTTCCACTTCCATTAGCGCAAAATACAACTCTTTAGAAAAGAGTTTTAGCATTATCATTGGGTAATTTATTGTAATAGTTATCACTAATGTGCATCATAGATACAATCAAATGAGCCAGTAATGGGGAGTACTGAGTAACATGCTTGCTTTTTCTTTTACAGCTGCTGTGGTAAAATTCAATCCCTTGTCTGAGTTAGAAAGCAATAAGAAGGTGGAAAATGGTGACGCTATTGTGCTCTACTGTGAGGTCTCTCACTCCTTTGCAAAAGTATCTTGGTTTAAGGATGGCGAAGAATTGCAGATAACTGACAACATCAGCATACAATCTGATGGCAACATGAGAAGGATCGTAATCCAGTCAGCTGATGTAGATCACTCTGGTGTATACGTATGCAAAACCAATGAGGATGGCATCAGATTTGATGTGGAGGTTTCAGGTAAAATACATTCAAATTTCAACCTTGTAACCTCCATTTTCCAGTATTTTTCTTAATTATTTTCTTCCTGCTCTTTTTTTTTTCAGGTCCTCCTGCTTATTTCAAACCAATCCCTGACGAAGAGCTCCACAAAAGCAGCATGGAGCTGGACCCAGTTGTGCTGCTCTGCCACGTCTCCAGAGATGACGCTGAAGTCAAATGGTAAAACTGTGGAACTCAAAAGGTTCCACATACAGAGTTACTGTAGACATGCAGGCTTGTGTATTTACATACCACTAAAAGTTGTCTACAACAAATATTTGTTCCAGGTACAAGGATGGCTCTGAAATTCAATCCAGTGACAACATCACTCTTCAGGTAGAGGGAACAGTAAGGAGGCTGATCATCAGATCTGCAGAAGCCTCAGATGCTGGCAGTTACACCTGCCAGGCAGGAAACAACAGCATGGAGTTCTTAGTCAACATCAGAGGTGCGATGCCATTAAATATGGTTAATATATTCATAGTCTATTGGGTGCCGAAAAAAAGTTAAAGAATGAATACATTGCCAAAAACCTACATTCTAATAAATTCTTAATTTTGGGAATGTCTACAGCCACTAATCTGAATTGTGTAAACACAGGTAAAAATCATCAAAAAGGTTTAATTACAGAAAAAGAGAAAATATAATGACAATCGGATGACTTAAAAGTATATATATAAACCACAAATTATGGAATTCTAAATGAAAGTTTTACTAAGAATACAAGCAAACAAAATTTAAACGATGGGAAGGTGGAAGTTCCAAAAGAAATGTTCAGGGCTAAAACTAATTTCAAGCTAAAGTAGTTGACTATGACTCAGAATCTTTGTTAATTTCCAGACATTACTCAAACATTAAATTAACATCTCACTGTTCTTCCAGAGCCTCCAGTGATGATTGTGGAGCCTAAAGATGATGTGGTGATGGAAGGCTACATTTCAGAAGAAATCCACCTGCAGTGTGAATTGTCCCGTTCCAGTGGGAAAGTGCAGTGGTTCAAAGATGGCCAGAAGGTGGAAATGAGCAATAGTATCCAGCTGTTATCCGAGGGTCCATACAGGAGGCTGACTATTCCCTGTGGCTCAGCAGATGACAGTGGAGAGTACGTTTGTAAAACTAATGGAGACTCTGTTTTCTTCCAGCTTAGTGTCAAAGGTTAGTGTGTCCTTCATACTCTTTTCTTTCAAAAACATGTCTAAACATGGAAAGCAGTAATGGAATTCTCCATCCTGACATGAATACCTTATAATCACATTTTCTGTTTCCTTCCCATTTCAGAGCCACCAGTTCTTATACTTTTTCCAGCTGAGTCAGAGCAAGAACTCAACTATCTAACTTCAGAGAGGCTTGAGCTCAGTTGTGAAATCTCCAAGTCAGATGCACCAGTTATGTGGTATAAAAATGGTCTTGAGGTAGAGGAGAGTCCCAATTTAATTCTTGCGGTGGATGGAGCCCAACGAATCTTACTTATACCCCTGACAACGGTGGAAGACACAGGAGAGTACATCTGTGATACTGAAGATGACTCCATGGCCTTTTTGGTTACTATTACAGGTAAGAATGGTAGGGTTTTTGTGCCATGTTTTTCTATGAATTATTCCAGTATATGTACACTGACTAGCTCAAGGTTTACATACTACCATGTCAATACCGGCTAACATACAATTACATTTTTACTTTTTTGCCAAAATTGTATGTTTCGGTTTGTAAAGAGCCACCAGTGAAGCTGACTCGTCCCAAAAACAAGCCAGACAAACTAGAGAGCTTGGCTGGAAAAGAAATTGTAATGGAGATCCAAGTGTCCAGACCAAACGCTGAAGTCACATGGAAGTTCAATGACGAAAAGATTGAAGAGAACAACAATGTAACTGTCGAGGAGGATGGTCTTATCCGTCGACTCACTATTCATGCTCCTACTCCAAACGATTCCGGATATTACGTCTGTGATGCAGGCAATGACAAAATTGATTTCCAGGTCAAAGTTTCAGGTACAAATACAGCAGTTTCAATATTTTTTCTGATACACCCAGTATACTAAAAAAGGAGAAAGTATATATTTTTACATTTTTTTCCTCAGAGCCTCCTGTGAAGATCTTAAGAAAGTTAGAGATCAAGACAGACCTAAAATTCAAGTTGGGTGATGACATTGTATTGGAGTGTGAACTCTCCAGAACAAATGCTGTTGCCAAATGGTACAAAGATTGCTGCCGTGTTGGGGGTGAAGAAAGGTTCTGTGAAGAGGAAGAAGGTGCTTTCCGCTCGTTGGTCATTCTTAACGCTGAACTCACGGACACTGGAGAGTACTTCCTCGACGTTGGAAATGACAGCATCTGTTTCCAGGTTAAAGTAGAAGGTAAAACATACAAAGCTGGGTGCCGTGACTAAAATACAATAGAAACAGATGAAGAAAACAAATGGACAAATAATAATTTGTGACATGTGTGGCATGGACTATGAACCCTGACGTCCAAAAGCTCATTAAGTTCTGGTGGTTGATATTATTGTTGAAACACAGTCAACAATACTCACCCAATGTTCCTTCATTTTCAGAGCCTCCAGTTACCATTGTAGGCAATTCAAATGATCACGACCAACAGGAGCTGATGACAGGTGACGACCTCATTCTGGCTTGTGAGGTGTCTCGTGCTGATGCCCCTGTGCAGTGGTACTGCAATGATAGATTGCTCACCAATGACTCCCGAACCTTAATTGAGAGCTATGGCACTCTGAGGAAAATCATCATTTCAAACGCAAAGTCCACAGATTCAGGGAAGTACGTGTGCGATGCTGTGGATGACAAGATGATAAGTCATGTCAGAGTTCAAGGTACCTTCACCAATCAAACTTTGAGTTTTGTCAAACTATAAAACTTGAAAGATTCTGGTCAGAATGTAACATTGCTAAATTCTCTTAATTTCTGTAATATTAAAGAACCCCCGACAACGTTTGTGAACAAGAAGGACGACATTGTTGTGACTGGGTATGAGGCAGAGCGTGTGACCTTGACAAGTTATGTGTCCAAAGACAGTGCTCAGGTGCACTGGCTAAAGGACTGGACACCTATTGAAGGCGAGCGCTTTCAAGCGCTTGTGGAAGGCCATAAACGCACCCTCACCATCGAGCCTTTGAGGCGCTCTGATGCTGGAGAGTACACTTGTGATGTCAGCACAGACAAGATCCACTTCAGTCTACTTGTCAAAGGTTCAACTTTATTTTGATATCTTATTTCAACAACATATTTTCAGAAGTTGCATTAACGTTTTCCATTGCATTACAGAAATGAGAATCAGGTTTGTAAAGCTGCTCCAGCACACTGTGGCCCATGCTGATGGCATGGTGACTCTTCGTTGTGAGGTGTGCAAGCCAAAAGCAGATGTCCAATGGCTAAAGAATGGTGTGGAGATAGTTCCAAGCAGGAGATTCTCTATTAGAGCGGATGGAGTGGAGCGAAGTCTTACAATCCACCGGTTGAGCCATGAAGATGCTGGGGATTACAGCTGTGAATCTAGAGATGATCGAACCACAGCATCACTGAGAGTGGAGAGTAAGTACACCTGGAGTTAGAACTCCTGACATACATGTGAAGAATGGCAACCAAAGATAAATCAGCTTCTTACAATTTCTCTATAGAAGACACCCATCAGTTAACCAATTTTAGTTTCCAGATGGAATATGGTATATCACAGCACATAATAAATAATAGGCCATAAACCTCAACTGACTTTTATTAAGTACTAAAAATTATCAGCAGTTAATTTTAAAAACTCAAACTAATTTTGTTACATTTTAGTGCCCCGAGTGGTTGAATTCCTCACAGAGCTCCACAACACCACTGTGCTTGAAGGTGAAGATGCCACGTTCAAGTGTGTTGTCTCTCCAGAAGATGTACAGTTGTTCTGGCACATGGACAATGAGGCAATAAAACTAGGTGAACGTTTTCAGGCAACACATAATGGTCTTTGCCACACCTTAGTCATCAAAAAGTGCCAGATGTTAGACTGCTCCAGGATTTCGGCAGAAGCAGAGGGAAAAGTGAGCAAAGCCAGCCTCAAAGTTCAGGGTAAGATTCACTTAATCAGAGCCACACAAAAGAAATGTGTAGTCCAAAAAGCATTGTAATGTTGTGCCTGTTATTATAATGTTTACAGAAGCACAGGTCATGTTCACCAAGAAAGCAGAGACTGTCATGGCAGAAGAGTTTGGTGATGCCACCTTGGAAACAGAGATCAGTCTGGAGACAGGGGAGGTTCAGTGGATGAGACAGGGAGTGGTCATTCAGACAGGTCCTCGTCACACTCTGGCACAAAATGGATGCAAACGCAGTTTGACCATCTTCAACCTAACTCTGTCAGATAGAGGAACCTACCGATGTGAGACGCTTCATGACAGGACACAGGTCAAACTTAATGTAGAACGTAAGTATTGCCATGGGACTCTGTTGGTTGTTGTTGTTGCTCTCCCAAAACAATTTGTTGTTCATATTTTCTTATTTTACCTTCATGTCTTTGTATCCAGCCCGTAAAATATCAGTCCGTAAAGGCCTGATTAACCAAGAAACCTTTGAAAGGGAGACTGCTTCTTTTGAGGTGGAGCTCTCCCATGCAGATGTGGAGGGAACATGGCAGAAGGATGGCATTCGTGTGAAACCCAATAACCGCTGGCGGGTCAGCACTAACGGGCTAGTCCACAGCCTCACATTGTCCAACCTGACACTGGAAGACACAGGCACTGTTGTCTTTTCAGCTGAAGGAGTGCGCTCGAGTGCCAGGCTTACTATCAAAGGTGACACATACTGCACATACTAAATAGTTTTGATGCTTATTAATGAGAGAGAATAAGCCATTGAAAAACATCAGTGTTATAAAAACAGTGACAGTGAATTTATCAGTGTATTCTTTAAATGTTGTAGACAACTGACTTTGACTGTATAACCTTGTGACCTTTGATTGATTATTATACTCAATGACTGTTAACTGGTAACAGAGACACCAGTGTCGTTCCTAAAAGAACTTGAACCTGTCCGTGTGGAAGAGGACTTTCCTGCCACTCTGGAGTGTGAATTCTCTCGACAAAATATTGAAGTCAGCTGGTCTAAGGTCAGACAATCCATTGCTTTACACACTTTTTATATAATTACTAATTATATAGTTTCATGCTAGGTTAACCTTAACGTTCATGTTTAAATATTGCTCTTTTTCTGTCATAAGGATGGCAAAGAGCTGAAGCCTGGAAAGAATTACCGGATTTACTCCATGGGACGTAAGAGGTTTTGTCAGATAATTCAATGCTCCCTAACCGACTCTGGGACCTACACGTGTGATACAGGGGAAATCAGCACCTCCTGTTCACTGGCGGTTTATGGTATGAGACACAATACACAATCAGTTACACAACTATTAATAATACATATTATACCAATATTTAAAAAAAATAGAAACTTTGCTATCCCTGTGGTTATATATGTTAATTTTGGCTAATGAGATAAGCTTGTTTAATACTGCTGAGTTTCCCAAACTTTTTGAATCCATTGTGCAAAAATCCCACAGCACACCACCACACACAAATATCACAAGAGGTTTATGTAATAAATGTGTTCTAGATTCAAATTACTCACAGTCTCTTTCTAGTTTTTACAGCCTAGTCTAGTTTTTAGTGCTGCCACCTAGTAAAATGGTACTTAAATTGGTCTGATATCCACAGTTGCACAGGTGAATGATGACAAATTATTAAATAAACAAAGCTATGTGGTAAAGTAATGTGCTGTCCACAGCGGTTGGAAATCACTACTATAATGCTATAGAGTGACACTGAAATAAATTCAACGTTAGTTGCTCATTATCAGAAAAAGGAAAAGGACAATGGCTCTCTGTGAAAACTTGACTACTAGCACCTACAAAAAATATATTTTAGAAACTTAACAAAAGACTTACCAAACAAAATAAATGTGTGATTAAAAATGGAATATCTCTTCTTAATATATATGGATTTTAGTTGCTGTTAAATTGAAGATGAACCTCAAATATGAGCACCACATCCTCTTCAACACCAAGATTCATAGGAAAAAAAAATAGTAGTAGCTGCTTTTGCCATATTTGAATTTGAACAAGAATTCAAGAACAAGAAATTTGAACACAGTCACAGAAATTATGCTCCCTTTCAATGATCATGCTAACAGCTTGCTTAACTTCCTGTGTGGCTTAAAATGCCTTTCACTGATATTTTCTGTCTTTGGGTATTGTTATTATTTTATATTTTTCCAACAAGCAAAACATATTTTTCTTCACAGAGCACAAATTGGAGATTGTGCATGAACTGGAAGATCTCTACATTAAAGAGGATCAGAATGCTGTCTTCATGTGTGAAGTTTCTCTGAAAAATGTAACTGGGGATTGGTACAAGGATGGATATAGGATTAGGCCTACCAGTACAATCAAGATCCGAACTGAAGGTCCAAACACAGTAACTCTGCATTACACAGAAAAGGATGTAATACTGACATAGTGACAAGTGTTAAATCTCCTGTCCTTCTCCACCAGGGACTAAACCTCTTCTGCTGATATGTACTGGCAATGTAATGTCAAAGTCGAGGATGCTGGAGAAATTAGATTTGCGGCCAAAGATATTGAATCTACAGCTAACCTCGAGGTTGAAGGTTAGGTATTTTTTTAATTTTCAAAGATATGCTGCGACACCTAAGCTAAATTGTGTAGCTTCTGTTTCTCCTGCTCATGTTTGCTTAATATTTTTAGAACTTCCAGTTTCAATCGTTAGACCTCTGCGAGACCGGACAGCACTGGAGAACCACCGTGTGATCCTGGAGTGCACTATGTCCACCCCTCGCTGTGATGTGGCTTGGTATAAAGATGGGGAGGAGCTGGCTCCTTCAGAGCGACTACATATGTTGGTCGACGGTTGTTGCCATAAACTGGTCATTCAACAGGTAGCAGCAGAGGATGAGGGCCTATATAGCATCGAGGTTGGGGAACACATTTGCCAAGCCAAACTGATGGTGGAAGGTAAGATGAGTTTTATGGGGATCATTGATGTTTTCAGTTCTTATTCAGTTACTTAAATAATGTACAATTGCTAACATACCCTCTTTTTTAAAGAGCAACATTTTCCATTATTGGCATGACTTTATTTTCCCAGCCAGCCAAGTTTCACGTCTTACTGTTTTTTTGCTGTGATCTGGGCCTAACTACTTAATTTGCAATTTGCAACCACTTAGCCTTTGTAACAAAAATTTCCCAGTTCTACGGTGTATTTTAGTTAACTGTTGGCCTTGTATTGGTAAATTCTAGCTGTTTATTATATTTCGGATTGATAATACTAACTTTGATAACATAAAATGTGTATTATATTTCAGAACACTGAACACTTGACATGTTTACATAGAGTACACAATTTAAATGCAATTTTGATACAATGCATTAACTCCCACCCATTTTATATAATACCATGGCAGCACAAGCACTACAGATGGTACGAGATCTAAAGGATGTGGAGGTGTCTGAGCCTGAGCCAGCATTGTTTGAGTGTGAAGTGTCCATGGACATAAACAAGCCTCCAGTTTGGACTCTAAATGGAGTGGCCCTTCAACCTGGCCCATATGTCCGCCTGGAGAACCATGGGAAACTGCACAAACTAATGCTGAAAAACACTAGTGTGGAAATGAGTGGGACAATCAAGTTTACCATGGGCAAGGCAAAGAGCAGTGCTACGCTAAATGTTGTGGACAAGTAGAAAAGGTAACAAGAAGTGACTTTAAGTTAGGAAAAGAAAGATCCAAAGAAAATGATCAAGAAGTTGAAGAACTACTCACATTTTTTAGAACTTCACAAGTTTTTTTAAAAAAAGAAAGTATTGTGATAGTGTTACAAAATTATTTCTAAAAAATAAATGTATTAATTAAAGCTGGACTGAACTCAGCATCCTAAATCAGAGTTCAAATCTTTTCTTTTTTTACATTGTAAATTATATTTATTTCCCTGATGAATACACCTTTCTTTACTATAATTACCCACATATTTTAATTAAAAGAAAAGGCATCAACAACTTCACATCATCCCAGGGTAACAATGTGCATCATATACGCAAATGTATGAATCATTTTTGTCTAAAAGTCATCTTTTTTTTTTTTTAATTTACACAACCCAGATAATTTGTTATCGAAATATTAACCCTAGCTAGTAGACCAACCTTTGTTTGTCTTTAAATCACATAATTATGAGTTTCAACAATTTGGGTCATGAATATGTGATTAAAAGCAGAACTAGTATCAATATCAATAAGTATGGACATTTTACTGCTATTTGTATATATTTTAATCAGAAATCGTGACATAAAACCGTTTCATGATTACAGTTTATGGAAACTATTTTGTTTATGATGTATATACATAAAATATATCTCTAAGTGGTAATTGAGTGCTACTAAGCAGAATATTTAAAATTTGAAATAATCCTAAAGCCTATGGTTTGATGTTTTCGAGCAAATAACGTTTTATCTCAAAAGGTTTATGTAGTAATTCAGTTTCTATTTGATATCTCTACCTTGTATTGAATGAACAATGCATCTGATAATTATGTCATCATTTGTATATCTTATCTAATAAATTCAACTTATAACTAATAACTATAACAAATATCGCTGAAGTCCAAAAGCTACTGAAACAATCTTTTGTCATAATGCACTGACATACTACTAAAGTAAAAAGACTGCGACATGACCGTTTTTTTAACCAGAGTAATGTAACTTACTTGATACAGCCAGGTGGAAGTTAAACTCACTTACCTTGATTATGCAGGTTAAGGTCCGCCTATTAAAATGTCGTCCTCTACAGTTAAAATTAATCCAAAACAGTCGATTATTGATGCGTTCCAAAGTTTGGAAATTCTTCATTTAAAAAGTACCCACCTAATAACAGGCCACGACATTATAGCATCTATCTTTGGCCTTTCGCGTTTGTTTCCTTTCTACCTGCACGACAACATGCTAGCTAACAAAAGTGGTGGGTCGAGAGCCGCTCAGCAGCGGCTCCTGATTGGACGAGGCGATCCGGTGACAATCACGGTCACAAGACCAACAAATTATAAGTAAAAAAAAAGTTACATACTATTTAGAATCTCATTACGTAGTTGAACAGTTAAGTTTGCGCATGTTTTGGACATAATTTTACAAATTAATTAAAAAAATAGATTAATCTAATTTTGATACTTATAAACATGTTGAGAATTTGTCAAAGCAGTTACAAACCAAGAACCTAACAATGGCTATAATGTCATTGAAATAGGCAAAGCAAATTAAAATTTTAAATGTAACACATTAACGCACACTAAATTTTGCCCAAACGTATCAAAATAGATACATTAAAGAGATGATTAAGGGCCGTGAGAGGACATTAATTCAGTCTGTTTTCACAAACAAAGCTCACTTTAATTCCTTTTAAAGTTGTAGGCATTTTTACACACAACAACACATAACTTACTATACAACACTGAGGTGGCAGTAATACACCTAATAAATGGCAAGAACTTTGAGGTGTTACAGCTAAATTAAATATGAAAATGCTTTCACCATATGTATACAAAGAACAGATTCAATGATTTTATCTAATGAAACATTTTTTTAACAATCGCAAGAAAACAAACATAAAGCAGAACTTTAAAATGCTATGAAAAAGCAATGGTTAAAAAATAAATTGTGATCATACTTCTGGATGTAAGGCTGCATATGAGGTTGTCAAACATCAAGTTAAACTAGCAAACACCTCCTACTATATCATGGACATGAGCTTCTGTCTTTTTTGTAGAGCCTCGTACAACAATTAGAAAATAATAGCTGAATGCTTTTGATTCCTTTTCCACTCAGGACTGCACTAAAGTGACTAAACTGTAAGGTTTTCAATGTAGCAACAATCAGACAAAGGATTCTTCTCCAAATAACGGCTGCTCACAGTCTGGATCACCACCACTATGCTCACTGCATCTCCTTAGCCATTGCCTGTGGCTCTCCACCAAGGTAAGTGCCATCTGCTGGCTGCTATGAAGACTGCTGCCTGGGTGCGAGGAGAAAAGTTCCTTCACTGATTTAGTGGCACTTGGGGAGAGGCAGAAGGCAGCTCGCTCTGAATCAATCTGCGTAACCTTGAGTCCAGGATCTGTAGGACTGGGTTGCTCCATGACGTGCCATCCTGGCTCTGATTGGCGGCGCAGACAGAGCCTGGTGTCCTGGCGAGTTTCCTCTTTCTCCACAGAATGAGACTTGTGTCTTCTGAACAAGGACAGAGTTGGTCCCCCACAGACTTTTTTGGCTCTGCAGATCCTCTGTTTTACTCCTCTGCCCTTCAGAGACACGTCAATGGTCCTTCCCTGTGTGTAGACAGCATGTTGAGCTTTATCTAGTAGCTCACAGTGTTTCTGTGAGGTAGTGCCCTCAGAGAAAATCATAGCACAAAGGACATTGGTGATCATGAACATTGCTATCATTCAACCCTCAGTAGTCACTTACCGTACTCATCTTTTCCTTCTCTTCTGGTTTTACTGTGCTATCCTCTTGGGTTATTGAAAGTTTTCTGTCTTTCCTAAGCCAAGAGTTTGGGTGTAAACCCCTGCAGCTTTTTAAAGTCCCCCAACTGAGTCCTTCTCCGGGAGGTGAGCTTTTTGCAGTAGTTGCAGTGACACTGTAGGTTTCATTAGACATCTTGGGTGGCTGAAACTCAACGGTGGCATGATCACTATTCAAAGAGTTTGTTGGAGAAAGTGTCTGATTTAGATTAAGGACATCAGCGCTTCCTGAAGTGCAAGGTCCAAACCTTCCCACATATGCTATGTTGGGCTCTGACATCCGCCTGTGTCTGTGCTGACCTTCCATGGACAGGGAGTCATCAGAAGAGGGTGTGATCATACTCAATACTTCTTGGCTCGTGCCTAGATCTGAGACCTGCCTCCTACCTCCAGTTCTTACCAGAGAGCAAAGCTTCACACTACTTCCACGGCCTATATCTGGGCTTGCTTCTTGGTCGCAGTCACTGATTGTAAGGATGGAGTCCTGACTACCCCGAAGAGGTTTTGACTGTAGATGGCCTACACCCAAGGCCGGCGAACCTCCGCTGCTGTCGTCCAGCTCATTCTCCAGACTGTCGTAGGAGGAGTCAGTCATTGGGTAGAGCCAGGAATCTGATTGTCCAGAAGAACATGAGCAAGAAAACCAGGCAAAACTGCAGTAGTTTAAACAGTCAAATTAAATAGGCAGGTGGCTTTTAAACACGCAACGAGGCGCAATTAAACCTGTCACAAAAACAGTGAATATATAAAATAGTTGCTCTGGAACAAATTCTGCCCTAAAAACTAAACATTTTGAAAAGCTTGTCAGTATTTAGCTAAAATCAAAAATCAAAAGTTTTTGTTTTTTCATTTGCAAAATCTTAACATCTTTTATTATTTTAGTTATTCTGTTATGCTGAATTGTTAAGAAAAATTAATCTACATTAATCTGTGTAGTTCTTTTTTGTATTTGCATTCAAGTGACATTGAAATGGTGTGTTTACCTGTTGTTGTCTCATCTGATTGACATCTTTGTGGTGGTCCTCCAAACAGCGTGGTAGGTTCCTCTCCTAAAATCTGCTGACAGTGCTCCATCATGAACCTAACCAGCTCACAGACCTGCAGCCACCAACATATTTAGTGTGTTTGGTATATAGCAAAAAATCTCAAATGTTGCAGATTTGTAAGAAACAAGGTTTTACAAGTTTCTCTGTGCACTTAAAATTTATTTAAAATGTTGTGTTCAAGGATGTCTTCTGAAATTAGCAGCAAGAAATGCTAAATTTAGATCCATACATTAAAACAAAATTTAATTAGTAATGTCTTAGAAACAAAAGTGTTTAAAACATTACTCCAGTGGTTACTGTTGTTTTATGGCAACGTAATCCATCCATTCACTCACTCACTTTTTTTGTTTCCTTTCCCTCCACCTCAGGGCTACACGGTGCTCCAGGAGGCCAAAGCATGCTGGGAGCAATGCACACAGACAAGTTAAAGGCATTCATTTGGTTCTCATGAGCATTGGCCTTGATAGTGTGCAGCACAGCTAGAAGGTAACGAAGCAGCAGGGCGTTTTCTTTGGGCAGTCGGTGCATCAATCTGAGGAGGATGGCACAAAGGACATGTTTGGAAATTTCATCAAAAGTTTGGAATCTTGTTTTTAATATCCTACCTCTGGATGTCCTGCACCTGCCCTTCCTCAACTTCATCGTCCTCCAAAACATCCATCCATTCTTCATGAAGTTCACAACATAGCAAACTACCTGGGATGCTGCGTAAGAAATCCTATGGATGGACAAAGACACGAAACACTGAAGTGTTATTACACACAAAGTCTGACAGAAGACTAAAACTTTATAAAAACTAAAACTTTAAAACTGGTCAGTCACTTCATATAATAAAAAAAACAAAAACAGGAGCTGCTGGTCAACTGTTTCCTGCTGTGGCTGTTATGTGTCAACGAGCTAAATCTTAATCAAGATTACAAACACCAAAGTCACAAACCAAGGTCTAGAGTGATGCAGCGGTTAGCCACCAGAGGGCCCATCATATTACGTGTGTGAGTGTGTGTGTTCTCTCAGTAGAGAGATTATAGTCTAAAACTCTTATCAATCCTGTCTAATCCTGCTGATTCAGCAACAGCAGATAGTCCCTCATTCAAATAATCAGATTATAGTTTGAAGGTCAATAACACACGTGTTAAAAATAAAGGTTTGATTTTTAATCACTCTCACCATAGTTACAGATGAAAAAATGGATTACTGCGAATTTATTTAAAGAGACTTTTTTATATTTACTTTCTGTCTATTTTATTTAGCAATAAGTGGTCTGCGGTGTGCACACCAATGCAGTAACAAACGCACAACAACCCACACATTTCCCCACACCTTAAACACTCCTGCGATAAGGAAAACATGGTCACGTATCAGAGGAAGCTGGAATTCTCCAGCATCTAGAGAGTCTCTCAGCTCCCTGACAGCTCGAGCCCCTGCAGGCCGACGAAAAATACCCCGTGTCCAGGAGCCTTCATGGTAAAGAAAGGTCAGCATGTCCTGTGGGCAACACAGAACCAAAGAAATCATAATATAACTGTACCATGCTGCGTGGCTGGATGTTTTTGTGTGCCATTTCTATATACTAGTAGGCCTGAATCATAGTTACAGTGTATTCTAACATAAGCATGTTATATAAATTGTGACCAGGTTTACCTAATTCATGCTCACAATTTTGAATGACCTGATTTTCAATTACTTTAGCCAAGGTATTGATCCACGTGGTCTTGCATTAGTAAATCGCGCTCATCAAGGTGATGCAATTAACCAGTGTTTTCATCAACATTTTTTTCCTTGTCCAGCACTTATGTGTAGTTAATAAAACAGACATACAGTATACACTCACCATGATAGGTTTAGGCAGAGCATCCTCCACACACACTGAACTGAGTGGGCGGCCAAACAAACAGCCCTGGGCTGCACCTGTAAGGGACAGTTCACTCAGGTAGGAGGAGGAGCCTCTCCAGAAGGCCCAGGAGACAAGGGAACGCCGTCTTCTAAAAGTCTTCTGAGAAACATCTGAGTCGACAAAACAACATTTATGCTTTGACAATTATTTCAGCTTAAGGTATTTTGTGCTTTGTGGGATACATTTGAAATAAAGATTTTAAACAAATTTAAACAATAAAATAAATAACATGTCAAATCTTGCATGCATTTGTAGATCAGCAAACTCTGTAGTGTGATGTAAAAATCATTCATTTTTTTCTGTGGACTTTGGTCTGAGAGAGTAAGTACTTTACATTAACTATACAACAACAAAAAACATATCTGACAGAAAGACTTAGCAGACCTAGATCATATTACCACAGTCTTTTGTAAAAGCTCTAACGTAGCTTCACCATCCCATAGTGAAACAGTTGTGACAACATCACCTGTGGTCTGACCTGATGGTTCCTGCAGCAACAGCTGCTGTTCCTCCGCTGGTCTGGGTTTCAGGACAAACTGACACTGTCTGTTGACCTGCAGCAGCTCCTTCTGTAGAATCTTCTCTCTGTCCACAGGTGAAGCGGGGGAGGCGGAGCCTGCAGCAGCCCCTCCTCCCTGAGACATGGAGTGTCTGACGTGACTCATCTGAATACTGAAGGGAAACTCATGACCTGAGCAAGAGCCACGGAGAAAAAAAACAACAACAAAAAAACAGTGAGCATTAAACACTTTAAGCTTTTTACAATATTTTTCATTATAGAATGCGATGATGTCATTTGCAAACACTGACCTATCAGAGGATATGAGGCGTCCCTTTTGCTGATGACCCACAGCTGGTAGTCTTTTACATTTCCCTGAGTCAGAACAATGTAATCATAACAAGCTTTTACATTTCCCTGAGTCAGAACAATATAATCATAACAAGTTATTATTATTATTATAGCATAAAATTATTGTACAAAATTGTATTAGTTTTTGATGTGCAGCAGACTTCTTCAATAGAGATCACGACCTCTATGGGTTTCTTTTGAGTACTGCAGTCTGGTTGTGACATTTTTAATGATAATTTTCACATTTTCTACATCACGTTTTACCAATTTAAACACCTCAGTTTCCCGTGTGTTTTTTTTTTAACTCACAATGATGCTAAACTGTTGCAGAGCCAATCGAATCACTTCATTGGTGGAATCAGAGTTACTAACAGGAAGTGTTTTAGTCTATCAAAAAAAGAAAGGAAAAATCAAATTAACTACAAAACACAGAGGGGTATATATTTAATAAAATGCAGGAAAAAAAAGTAAACTTACAACGGCAAATGAGTTGAGTCCTTTACCATAAACTCTGAGAGGAATTGTTTTAGGTTCTTCTGCCTCTTTTTGCTCTTTGATACGGCTGCAAAGCAAAATACATTGAGATTAAACCTCAGTCTCTCGCTCTCATACACACACACACTTGCACACAGGTACACACACATCGCTGACATGTGAAGGAAGACTTCACCTCTTTAGAAGTGAAAGCCATTCCTCTTTCTGTTCTGAGGAGCTGAAACAACAAAGAGTAGCAGCATTAACAGTAAAAGCTGATCTTCACTACTCACAAAGAATAAAACCAATGCCAACCTAAGTCAATCTAAGTCAACAAAATGATGTTAAAAATGCACTGTGTGCTTTAGTTGTTAGGCAGTCATTTCCTACAGGAAAAAAAAATCATAAAAATATATGCACCAATGTCTGTGTGTGTGCGTGTGTGTGTGTGTTACCTGAACGTAGCCACACAGTTGTACGTTGGCCAGCCAATAACAAAGCTCCTCTTAAGTGCTGTGCTTCCTTCCCATACCTCCTCTACGCAGCTCGCCGTCCACATCTCACACACACACACTTTAACCTTCAGCTTGAAGTGGTTGGCTGATCTAAGAGCAGACATGCACACAAAGTGCAGCATGAAAACACACAGACTGGCATGATTATGACCATCTGACCCCTGAATGAACCCTGGGTGAGTTGCATCATGTCTCACTTGGCTTTGGCGACAATCATAATGTCACTGAACAAGAAAAGGTGTCTGTCCTGTGTCTGCATTCCTGTCTTCAACTGAGCATGTGCGTGAAGAAGGAAGGACCGCACTGAGTTGTCTAGGTAGGACTGAATAAACGGACAGGTCTCTGCACAGACAGTCATCTGGAACGTCTCTCTGAAGAAATAACAGATCATCCAAGTGAGTGATAGACCACATTTTCTCCCACACCAAAGTCCATAAAAGAATTCAGTGATTTTTCACCACAGACCTTTGGCCTCCCCACCTATTTTATGTAGATTTTTTTTTCTGTTTTCTGCACCATTTGCTCAAATTTACCCCAGTAGCTACAAGAGGCAGAGGTCCTCTGTTTCTGTGAGATAAATCACAAAATTCCTAATGATCTTTGGTTCTGAAGAGTGAGCACTTTACAAACTTTAGTTTCAAGTCAGTAACTGCAGCAACAAGATGATATATGACATATTTCTTCTTTCTCAGAGACATCTGATCTTCTTAAATCTGACCACACACTGTGTGAGCCCTTTCAAAACTTTATAGGTATGTGTGTGAGGGTTGATGTATGTATGATGTTTGTGTATGTTTAGACAAAAGGAAAGATGGGATCCAATTGTCGTTATGACATAGAGCCTTTGGACAAAGTCATTTTGGTATCACATACTGCACAACAATGGCTGAGTGTAGTGAAAGTTGTCATGGATATGATCCCAAATACCTGGACAAGGTCTTGGATCGGGTCAGAGCCTTGGTGATCACCAGAGAAGGAGCAGACTGTCGACGACAGCTCTGAAACTTCATCTTCTAAACACAGACACATAAACACAGGACAGGAGTTATTATTATTATAATTATTATTATTAATATTATTATTATTGTTATTATTATTATTATTATTGTTATTATTATTATTATTATTATTATTATTATTATTATTATTATTATTATTATTATTATTATTATTATTATTATTATTATTATTATTATTATTATTATTATTATTATTATTATTATTATTATTATTATTATTATTATTATTATTATTATTATTATTATTATTATTATCTTCCATCGTCCAATCTAGTTGTGCTCATGTGCTAAGTAACAGGGTCTTGTCTAGAGTCTATCAATGTATTACTCGTCCGACCTCACGGCTTCACATGAACAGCTTATGTTTACTCTCCTACACTTGGTTATGTAACAGTTGTCCTGCACATTCATCAGAGTGCGGCCTCCAAACCGACAAGAATGATTAGAAAGATTAGCAGATGAACAGCCTGTGCTACCTTCACTGACTCCATCTGTCTCTGAGCACTGACACTTTCACACACTCATTCATATCTCACGAGGTACACTCTATACATATTCATACACTTTTTATACTGTTTAAATGTGTCAGTTAAAGTAGAGAAGGAACAGCTAATAGCTAATAGCCACTACAGTTTGCAAACCCCATTCTATCCAATTCAAAGGTCCATACAGGTAAGTGATTTGATAAAAACTCTGTTGATTCACTGCTGACTTCACCTGAAACATTATATTTGTTATGTTGTTTGTGTGGTGTTTGTGTTTAAAACTCTTTGTTCAGTGACAGAAACTGACCACAAGAGGCAGCAGTAAACCTCCTATGTCCATATGAACTAAAATCACAAATAAAGTCTATATGTTTTAGTTTTGGGACTCTGCTAATAAGATAAGTTACAGCAGCACTATTTATTCTAGATTCTATTTTGTTTCATATTGTCAAATTGTAACGTCTCTTTTGTATAAATGAATATCGTTTTTTGCATTGTTTGTAAAACCTACAGATCTTTGCTCCTGCTGAGAGCCACTCCGACTCCTGCGGACCATCTCATCCTCCCCCTCCACCGGTGGCTGCTGCTGCTGCTGCTGTGGAGACATGTCCATCTAGATGTCCTTGTGTTTTCTTCGCTCACTGTCCAAACTTCTCGAAGATCTCCAGCTTACTGTCCCGCGGCTCTCATATCCTTAAGTTCTCTGTCCAACTGTCCAGGTGTCTTCGAGCTCCCAGTACGATTGTCTTCAGAGACCAGTCCTGTTGAGACACTCCACGTGTGAAGACAACACCTGGACACAAGCACGAGAAAATCTGCAACAGTGAGGAGCAAAGGTCAACAACAACAACAATAAACAAGTTTGAATAAATGTGCAGAACATCAGCCTGTGCTAGGTTCATGTCCTCACCATCAGTGGGAAGCTGCTGTCTGGATTATCAGCCTCTGCTGCTGCAGCACTTCTTAATGCATCCTTACACACAGGGGCGGAGCCAATACTGCCAATAAAAAAAGAAAAACAGACTCCACCCTTTAAAAAAAACCCAAAACATTCACTTAATTTCTACATCTGCAGAAGAGGCAAATGACAGTGACACCAACACTGTGAAAAAAGACAGTCAAGTGCAAAAATAAAACAGCAGCTTTATTGGTTGTTTATAAAACATGTAACATGTAAAAACATGTAAAATATGCAGGTTACAAAAACCTGGTGTTACTTGGCTTTTTTTAAAAAGCCAACACCAGAAACACCAGTGAAGNATATATATATATATATATATAATTTCCTTATGCGTGTTTGATTTTGTTTGTGTTTTAACCTCTCACTTTACCTCATCAAAGTCAATTGGGAAAATCCAAAGCCTGCTGCTCCATCTACTGCCCAAAAAATTAAGTTAACATGTTCCCGAGAGCTAAGATCATGTTTTTACATCACTGGCAGAGATGTTACATACAAAGAGATGATCTCACAGGTCATATTTACAGAAACCATTCCCACCCTCAACACCAGTTATCATTCCAGAAAGAGAAGTGGGCCACAAACTGGGCTAAAGAAGCAGAACCAGGCTGACCCAAAATGGTCCACAATCAGATCAGACCCTGTTAAAAATGGATCAGCCTAATGATGAGCTTCCTCTGTTGATAATTAGCAGCCTTGGGCATAACACAGAAAATTAGAAAATGAGCTCCAATCACAACTTCAGAGGTCGGACGGTTCAGCTGGGAGGTGGAATAAATTTTACTGCAACAGCATGATTGTACATCAGATGGAACCTAGTCCACTCTAAAAGATATTCTGGAAAAAACACAAACAAAACCGACGTTGGTACTATGTCAATATCTCAAACAGAATTCTCTCTAAAAAAAAAGTCCAGGCAGTTTCTAAAAATATCTGAAAAATCTGGAAAAAATAAAATAAAATCTGGTTTTAAAATATATTTCCAATAATATTTCAACAAGTCAGGTTAGGCTTAATGCAAACACATGGAGACACTCATTATGGCGAACTAACTTTTCCATTTCATTAACCAACAGAAATGGCTTAATTATAAAAACCCTGCAGCTATGTTGTCTAAAAATGAAGCAGGGCACAGAACTTTTTTTTAACTGTAAAAAGTTGTGTCAATGAGGGGAGGGGTAGTACAAACAAAATGGAAAAAAACTTACATCTCAGACCAAGTTGTGGCGTATTGTTTTAATGCAGGTCTAATATACTGTATATATATACATGTATGTACAGTATATACAGTATATATATACACCAACATGTATATAGATACATATACTGTATATGTATCTATATAATCAATCAAGAAAGTAACAAATAATTTAGCTTTACAACAGTTAATTTTAGTTTTGCTAGATTTTGACTAAATAAATTAGATTTCTTCCCCCAGACTGAAATGTGCTTCATGTGGTGTCGTACTCCCTAAGAGGAAAGTAGAAAAATGAGAACTCATAAAATTGTTTTCTAACCATGTTTTTTGAATCCCACACTGGGGAAATTCTGGGGCCTTTTTACGATAAATAAACTTTAAAATAAGAGACAAATAAGATTTCTTACAAATGCTATTTTATTTGTTTTTGTACAAAAGCTGTTTGTGAGGTCTTGTCCTTTTTGTGTTACAGTGTATTATTTTGTTAAATTACCTAAAATCTGTAAAACATGTAATCACTTCTTTAAAAAAACGATCTTTTCCTATACAGGCGTTCCTTGTTTAAGAGCACTGACACAAAATAATGTTTGTTTTCACACACATTCAGGGTAAAAAGGACAGTTTTAAAAAGTCAGTAACTCTTTGGAGCAAATAACATCCATCAGGTTAAAATCTGCGACGTTTGTTGTTCGGACCATCATAGACGCCCCCTACTGGACTCGCTCTACCAAAGTCAGCAGCTGCTCCTAGTTGTGACCCAAGAAGCTGCTGCTGCTGCTGTTGCTGTTGCTGCTGTTGTTGTTGTTGCTGCTGCTGCTGTTGTTGTTGCTGGTGCTGCTGTTGTTGTTGCTGCTGCTGCTGTTGTTGTTGCTGCTGCTGCTGTTGTTGTTGCTGCTGCTGCTGTTGCTGCTGCTGAGGTGATCCATGCTGATCCACAGACACAGTCTGAAGGTATCTATCATTTCTCTGTGGTGTGTTCACAGCAGTGCACACAAAAACATGGTGTCAATGCCATGTGTCACCATCCCACAGTTAAATGACCAGATGTAAACAAAGGAGAAAAATAATTAGTTGTTTGTTTATCTCAAAAATTATATTCAAGAGTACAATGAACACACAAAAGGTGTTTGACTCTACGTCTACAATAGACAGACAAAATTGAAATCCTGAAATGAAAATTTCTTGTTCTTAAGTGTTCTTATCTCTATGTCAAAAACATATCTTGAGATATGAGTAAAAATTCAGAATATTGTATTCAAGATCTGAAAATAAAGTTTTTTTTAATTAAAAAAAATGTATGTGGGAAAAAATTGTTTTGGTCAGTGATAAGTTGGAATTATTGAAAGTTACTTGATATGAAAATGTAGAATAAATGTTGAAAAAGAATAAAAACTTTTACCATGGCTCCATTCTCTGACATCATTGTTGTGCCCATATTTGGGCTTCCCGCCTGTCCATTGGCCCCACCCTTTCCGCTCATACCCATCATTTGAGTCTGGTTAACAGTGGGTGTGGCCGAGTTCTGGTTATAACCATCTATGTGGTTGGGATTGGTCAGCAGGCAACAACAGTAAACAAAAACAGTAAAAATTGAATAAGTTTAACTCCCATCATTATGAGTGAATAACAATTGACAGTCACGCACAGAGAGAGTCACACACACACACACCTCCCATATTAACAGCTCCCCGTTGACCCAGGTCACCTCCTCTCATCTCCTGTTCTCTCTACAAGAATAGAAGAAACAAGTTCTACTTTGACTCTCTACTGACCTTTTGTCTTTTTCTCAGAATATGTTATAAATTCAGGACTTTCTCTGGGTGTCTTTGTCAAACTGATGTAGAATTTCCTCACATTTTCCTGGAAGTTTTGCTTGAAGGCATCTGGTTGCTGTCGCCTCAGCTCCTCCTGCTCTCTGTGCCTCATCATCTCTTCCTCTCTCCTCCTCCGCTCCTCCTCATGTCTGAGGCACAAACAGAGTGAAACAAGTCTCAGCTTGACCTCAGTCTTTTACCCATTGTTACAATGTTAAACTCATAGATTGACATATTGACGTTTTTCTTGTCATGACTAATGAAAATGATAACGTCAGGATATACTTCCATGTTTTTAATGCTGTATCTAGTTTTCTGTCTAATTTTGGAGCCAGAATGTCATCACACCTCATGTCTATCTGCTTCCGTCTAAGAAGCTCCTGGTTTCGAAGCTCCTCCAATCTCCTCAGCTCCTCCTGGCGTCTCATCAGATCTACATTAAATACATGGGGAATTTGTCAGTACAGAGAGAACATTTTTTTATTGTACAAACACAATTTGTTTTTTAAATAAATGATAACAATTGGTGAACTTTAATTAGTTTGCCACAATACAAAAAATGGACAGTGCACTTCTCCCATGTCTTGGATGATAAAAAGCAAAAGGCAGCTGTTTGAAAATGTTACCGTGTCTCATCATCATGAGCTGATGCTCATGTTTGGCTGATTCCAGTTCTGCCTCCAACTTCTCTTTAGCTTCTCTGATGTTCTTGTCGACCTGCTCTCGTTGCTGCTTCTCCATCTCGTCTAGAGCTTTCCACCGCGAAGAGAACTCAAAG